TGGACAGATCTGTCAGGAGTCTTCTAGGGGTTTTTACTGGTGGGAAAATCTATAAGTGACCCCAGCTTGGCTTTTAAATGATAACCAAACACTTCCTGCCTAGTTATTTCTTGAGCATTCTAAAAGATTCCTCTGAGAACATTTCTAATTTCCAAAACTTCCCCAATGAATACTACCTTGGTTCTGGCCCTACTAGCTTGGGAGAAGGGTAGATCTGGGCCAGGAAAGTCCATATTCTCCCCTGGCAAACAAGGCTCTCCAGCCCCAGCCCCAGCCCCAGGCTACCACGAAGGCAAAGCAAAGCAGGAGTTCTCTGGAATTTGTGCTCTTGAGATTTCCACAGTCCCTCTCTAAAAGCTAGTTCTAGCTTCTTCCCTACGCTGAGGCCTTAATTTCTAATAATTAGATTCAGATGGAAGACCCAGCATCCTAGGCACTCTTTGTCTTTGGCCTGAGAGGACGTTATATATTTCATTTGTGTTTGATGGCCAAGGATCAGCTCTTGCCCTGGGAGACATAATGGGATCATTGAGCCAGTCTTGCCTCCTCCCCAGGTCCCCTCAATCTCCTTATTCTGTAAAATGGGGACAGTAATATCCTGGCTGGGGGTAAGGATAAGATTTAATTTTTGGTATGAGCTCAGAAGAAAAGTCAATCATAGCACTCTTAAAATTATATTTCATGTGACAAAGTATAAATAGCAATGAATTAAGCACTCCATTCCTCATGCCTTCTTTTGCACTCTCTCTCTCTCTCTCTCTCTCTCTCTCTCTCTCTCTCTCTCTCTCTCTCTCTCTCTCTCCTCTCTCTCTTTCTCACTCTCTCTCTCTCTCTCAAAGTGTTTGGATAAGTCACTACAGAGCATCCAAGCCAAATGTCCAAACCACCCACTCTCCTATTCCCAGCAACTGAGTTAAAATGAGACCAGCTGAAATCTGGGCCAAGCACTCCAATGACTTGCATTTCTGATTATTATTCCATGATATGAAACTCAAAATAAATCAAAAAAGGAAAATTTGCCAGACACTAGCTAATTCACAAAAACACATTTTCAACCTCCTTAGTCCTTGTACTCACGCAAGCTGAGATAGGCCAGTGTTTCTGCCCCCATGCTTAAAGACCCAAAGATGAACCTTAACAGAAGGAATCTCTCTCTCTCTCTCTCTCTCTCTCTCTCTCTCTCTCTCTCTCTCTCTCTCTCTCTCTCACCCCTCTCTTCTCTCTTTTCTCTATTCTCTTTCTCTCTCCTCTTCTCTCTTTTCTGTCCTCCCTGTTCCTCTCCTCCTTTCTGTCCTCGTATCTCTCTTCTTTCTCCCTCCTCTCTCTTCTCTCCTTTTTTCTGTCTTCTTTCTCTTACTCTCTCCTCCCTCTTCTCTTCTCTTGTCTTCTCTCTTTTCTCTGTCTCTTCTCTTCCCTTCCCTCCCCTCTTTTCTTCTTCTTCTTCCTCTCTTTCTCTCTCTCCCTATATATATGTATATATATATGTATGTGTGTGTATATATATACATACACACATATGTGAATAAATAGATAATAGATACATACATACATAGCGGAGCCTTATTGAAGTTTTGTGTTTAGCTTTAAATCCCATACCATTGAATGGGAGCACCATGTGGAACAGTGAAAAGAGCGCTGACCTAGAAAGTCCTAAGATGGAGACAGCACTAGATTCTAGGTTCTAGGTTCTAGTTCCAGTTCTGCTGCCACATTATCCCAGTCATGCCTAATGTTTTCTAAAATGGCAGGTGGAAGTCTGTTTGGATCATGTGATCACTCAGAGACTTCTCCAGCTCTAACATCCTAATGTTTTTGAGTCAAGTCTAAGAACAAGAGAGGGTGGCTGAAATGAAAGGCTTAAAAAAGTGGGAAAAGGTTAGAGACCTAGAACAAACTAACAGCTTAGAAATGAGAGAATACTGGGAGATTTTCAAGAAACCCTCCTTCAGCTTTCCTGAGGACAGAACAAGAGAAAAATGGTATAAATAGAAGAGAGAACTCTTTAGATTAGACAGGAGGTAGAACTTTCTGACATTTGACATGGTAAGCCCAGAAATGAATCTCCCCCCCAAAAAAAAGACAATCATTTTAAAAATAGAATTGTTGGAATCTTGATCTCATCATTTGGATCTCTTCTAGGTTAGACTATTACAGTAGCTCCCTAATTGGCTTCCCAGCCTCCAGTGTCTCCCCTCTATACTCTTCCAATCAGCTGTCAGAGTGATATTCCTAAGCACAGATTTGACCGTGCCACTCCTCATCCCTGCTCTAGAACCTTCGGTAGCACCCTGTTTCTTCTAGGACATTAAAAAAAAATTTTTTTTAATTTTTTTTTCTTCTAGGACATTTAAATGTTCAATATTTAAAGCCCTTCAAAATCTGACTCAATCCTACTTTCTCAGACTTAGGTTGCCTATCATTCCCCTTAGCATATTCTGTGTCCTAAGCCAACCTCTATTACCTGCTATTTCTTATACATGACATTTCCTCTCCTACCTCCGCGCCTTTGCATTATTCCCAGAATGCTCTCTGCCCTCGCTCATACCTTTGGGAGTTCCTGGTGTCTTTCAGGGCTCTTGTGGGAGGTCCTTCCTGATTCCCCCCAGTTGTTGGTGCTTCTCCCTTTTTCTGACATTACTTTTGTACACATTTTTTATTGACTTATTGTGTACACATTGTTTCCCCCTGAGTAGAATATAAGCTCCTTTAGGGGGCTCTGTCTCATTTTTTGGTTTCATTCCTCCAGTGCCTGGCATGTAATAGACACTTAATGTTGAATTGAATTGGCTCCAAGTTTCATGGTCTTAACACTGTACATGGAGATAAAACGAGATTACTAGTACATGAAGCAAGGTCTCTTATGGATCCACACACACATAAGATATATAACAGCAGCCTCTCTTTGACAGCCTGTGCCTGTTATTCCAAGCAATTGGCCAAGAAGTTAAATGACTCTGTACATACTCAGCCTCTACCTCTGTTTGGCCTTCATGTGCCCCCAGCAGTTAACTTCTCAGCCATACCATGAGTCATCTGATTCATTTAACCTTGAATGACAGCAGAGCATAGGGACTGTCTGGAGATATAAAGTGAACCATGCAAGGGACTGCTTAGTATGACTAAATACTGAGAACAGGGCAGAGGGGAGAGGCAAGGAAGCAATGAGGGGAAATAGGTCAGAAGGGAGCCTGGTGGAAAGTCCAGTTTCAACCATTTGCTGTTGAAAAGCATAACAAGGAGCAAAGACATGCCTGGAGAATAGAGGGAAGGGAAGTCTGGCTGGGGAGAGGAAGAAGAAAGATGAAGATAAATGGGAGGAAAAAAAGATAAATGGGGGAAACTGTGAACAGAGAGAATTTGCATGATTTATATGAAACTTGAGTATAGCATCTAATAACTCCAAAAATGCATCTTTAAAAAAATGATGTACCTTTCTATTTTGGAGATAGATTATTTTGTCACCCCTATGCCACTCCCCTCCTTACCCCCAGAAAGTTAGAAGTTAGCTCAATTTGTAGAGGAGAGATAAGGAGATTAAGCTCTAAGACTTCAATGTTTTCTGTTGTTAACAATCTGAATATATGGTCTTTCTGCCTAGGATTGGAAGAAGTCTAGCCCTATAAATATGAAAAAGCAATATACTTTATTAGCTGTGTGACCTTATACAAGGGAACCTCTCAGCATCAGTTTTCTTGTCTCTAAAATAGAGCTAATATCTTCTCTACCTACTTCACAGGTTTGTTGCAATTAACAATATTGGTAAAATCTTAGAGAACTGTACTAACATGAGTTATTCTTAATAGTGATCGGGCTGATTAAAAATCTAAATGGGAGGAGGTAGTAGAGAGAATAAGCATTTATTAAGCACCTGCTATGTGCCAGGCATTTGCTTTACAAAATATTGTCTCATTGGATCCTCACAACAACCCTGCGAGGTGGGTGTTATTATGATCTCCAACGGAGGTAGGCAGAGGTTGACTTAAAAGAAGGGCAGTTGAAAGGAGAACTTAATCTGGAGTAAGAAGATTTAATCTTGGAACCAATTGCTGAAAACCGGGAGATAAAGAAAGGAAAAAACACATGAAGGAGAGACTAATTATCTGCTAATCTGGTCCTTAAGCTCTGAACTTCTTGCTTTGACGCAGTGTTTATTGAATTTTTCTTTCCTATTATGTGGGCCTGGCCTTAGATGAATAAAAAGTTCTTCAACCAATAGATAGATAATTTATTAAGTGCTTAAAATGTACTAGGCAATGTGTTAAAATAAATGCCAGAAAGCATGACTTTTCCTGCCCTCAAGAAGCATATATTCTAATGGGAGAAGACCACACATAAAAATGGAGCTGGAAGGGGTGGGGAAGTGGGAAAGATGGAGGGAGCAGGCAGAAATGTTCAGGAAGTGACTGGGAAGCCTGGTTCCAGGCAAGTTCTGGGGAAATCTCTCCTATCCAATCCCAGAATCCCCAGGGCAGAGTATAAAGTTTTGTTTTGTTTTGGGGAGGGTGGGGAAGTTGATCTGGGGATGATAAAGCGAAGACAGCAGGAAATGACTGTGATATCCAGAACGGCCTTAGTATCTGAAGTCACTAATTTGAGCCATTAGATTGAGGGGCTTCCCCAGCACCCAGGAAGGGTCAGCACAAGGCAGCAGCGGACTTCGGTTTGGGGGAACACTAATGCCCTGTTAAATAACGTCTTAGAAATCCTCTGGCAATTGTACCAGTTGGCGGTCAGTTGTAGCAACCCGGGGCCAGGTGTAGACTCTTGGCTGCGCTCTGAGATTGGACCTTTTACAGGAGAACCCTGAATTATAAACACATTAAAGCTTTACTCTCAGTCATTGGCAGTGTTAAGCCTCACCCTGTAGCCCTCTCCTTCCCAGTGGTACTTTACAGTAAATCTTTCTTCTAAGGACAAGCCATTCCTCCAGAGGGTCTGAAAAATGTCCCCAGGCCTGGCTTCTGTCTTAACCCCCTGGCCTTTCTCTTTTTGTTCTATAGCTGGGATGAAAGCAGCAGTATCAGCAGTGGGCTCAGCGATGCCTCGGACAACCTCAGCTCTGAAGAATTCAATGCCAGCTCTTCACTCAACTCCCTCCCCACCACCCCTACTGCTTCTCGAAGGAACTCAACCGTAGTGGTAAGTGAGTCTGAAAAATGCCAGCGCAGAGTGACTCTAACCCACAGTCCAGGAGGAGCTGAGACCAAGCAGGCAGTGCCACCTTCCCAACCCAGGCCTTCCATGGACCTACACATCCTGACCCATTTCCTTGTGCCCTGAACCACATTCCTCAACGAGTCAAGGAGACCAAATCCACCGAATCCTGAACCATCCCATGTGGCTAGAGTTAAAAGTCCCTCCAGCTTTTAGGAGTTCCATGAGTTATGGGGTGATAGACACAAGGAGTCAGGACCAGAATGGGGAAAGAGGCAGCCAAAACCTCTGTTTATTTAACCATTGTGTTCTACAAGTATCTCAAACACATCCACAAGAGAACTCACCAGATTTCTGCCCAAACCCACCCCTTTTCTGAGCAGTTCCCTTCTACTTTCAAGGAGCCACCATCTTCCCAGTTACCCAGGTTTGAAACCTCCATGTCCTCCATAACTCTTCCTTCCCCCTCACTCTACACATCCAGTTAGTTGTAAAATCTTGTTGTTTCTCTCTCCATAGTATCTCCTGTACTCATTCGCTTCTCTCCTGTCACACAGCCATCACCCTAGTTCAGGTGCTTATCACCTCTCCCCTGGATGCAGTGGCCTCTTAATTAGTCTCCCTTCCTCACATCTCTCCCCATTCCAAACCATCCTCTATGCCCCTGCCAAAGTCACTTTCCTAAAGCATAGTTTTGTTTTGTTTTGTTTTGTTTTTTGGTAAGGCCATTGGGGTTAAGTGACTTGCCCAGGGTAACACAGCTAGTAAGTGTTATGTATCTGAGGCTGGATTTGTAGGTCCATGGAAGGCTGGATTTGAACTCGTGTCCTCCTGACTCCAGGGCCATTGGTCTATCCACTATGCCACCTGGCTGCCCTAAAGCATAACTTTTAACATGTCATCCCTCTACTATGGGTTCCCTGATACCTCCAGAGTCAAAGTCTTTCGTAACCTGACCCTGTCCTACCTTGCCAGTATTCTTACACATCACTCCCCTCCTCTCACTCTACAATCCAGCTTTACTGACCTCCTGGCTGTTCCTCACACACAGCATTCCATCTCTTCCCTCTGGCCTTTGCCCTGGCTCTCCCACATGCCTGGAATGCCCTCTCTCCCTACCTCTGCTTTTTAAAATCCTTGGTTTCCATCAGGACTCAAATCAAATGACACCTTCTGCAAGAGACCTTTCCCAGCCCCACCCTATCATGCCCCAGGGCTAGTGCCTTCTCTATGCTTACCTTCCATGAATTCTGCATGGCTCTTGTATGTACATGGATGTATGTGTATATGTGTGTCTATACACGGGGTATTCCAGATACAGACACAGATAGATATTGGACTTTTGGAAAAGCAAAAATAGTCTTTGCCATAAATGAACTTGTAGTCTAATGGAGGAGACAACATATACACACACACACACACACACATATGTATGTACATAAGTATATATATGATAAATACACATATGTGCACACACATATAGATGTAAATATATAGATCTATAGATATATTAATAGATAGATAATGTTCCAAAAGGCTTGGCACAATTTTAAGCTCTTAAAGCTTAAAATTTTTAAGCTCTTTACTTTTTGGGGACACCCTATATATATATATACATAGATATTTCCACACCTATATACTTATGTATATAGCAGGCATATATTGCCTCTCCCATTAGATCATAAGTTGCTTTAGGGCTTTTCCTTTGTATTCTTAATTCTTAGTATAGTAACTGACAAATATGAAATCCTTAACAAATGTCTGTCGATTGATTACAATCATCCCTTCAGCTCTAAATCTGGCAAGTAGTCCAGGCAAGGCCTCACTCTCTCCACCTCCCTTCCCCACCTTAGTTACGCACAGACTCAGAAAAGCGCTCGCTGGTGGAGAGTGGGCTAAGCTGGTTCAGTGAGTCAGAGGAAAAGGGCCCGAAGAAACTGGAATACGACAGTGGCAGCCTTAAGATGGAGCCAGGGACCTCCAAGTGGAGGCGAGAACGGCCAGAGAGCTGCGATGAGACTTCCAAGGGTGGAGAGCTAAAGAAGCCCATCAGCCTGGGGCCCCCAGGGTCCCTGAAGAAGGGCAAGACCCCCCCAGTGGCCGTCACTTCACCCATCACCCACACAGCCCAGAGTGCCCTCAAAGTAGCAGGTAAACCTGTGCAATGTGTGTGAGCAATTTTCAATGAGGGTGGGTAGGGAGGGAGGAAGGGAGAGAATTTGAAACCCAAAGTTTTAAAAACGAATGTTAAAAATTGTTTTTACGTGCAACTGGGAAAAAAAAGATATACAGGCAATGGGGTATAGAAATCTATCCTGCCCTACAGGAAATAGAATGGGAAGGGGATAAGAAGTGGGGGGTGGGGAAGTGATAGAAGGAAGGGCAGATTAGGGGAAGGAGTATTCAGAATGCACACTGTCTTGGGGGTGGGGGGAGGGATGAGAAAATTTGGAACTCAAAATCTTGTGGAAGTGAATGTTGAAAACTAAAAATAAATAAATTAAGAAAAAATGAAGTTAAAAAAAAAGATGAAGAATGTGTGTGGGCAAAATAGGGCTATTCCAGCTCAGAATCTTCTTCACCTTTGCTCCTGGCACCAACCCCTGGGATGCTTCCATAAGCTTCCCAGTGGTTCCTTTGGGAATCCCTTTCTCTTCTTAGACTCTGGGACAAATGGCCAGATAATCCCAGTGATGTTGACATACAAGGAGAGGGTTATCCCCAAGGTATTTTATTCCTATCCTAGAGCGAACTTCCAAGGCATAAATCAAACAGCTGAATCAAGACAGTTTTGTTGTTTGTAAACATTCCCAGCCAGCCCCATGTATATCTTTTAGCCTTTATCAATATCTTCCTCAGGTCTATTGTTGCCAATTGTTTTCTTCATGGGCAAGACTCTCCTCATTGTTATTACCATTATCATTATTATTATTATTATTATTTTGCTTTCCCAGAATTCTTGTTGGATTTAGTCTCTTCTTGGCCCTCTTGTGTGGAAACCCATCCATCCTAGCTACTAGAGATGCTCATGCTATGAAAGCAGGGTAGCTAGACCCTTGAAGTCTGTCCAGAGCAATCCCCTAGGTGCTCTTAAGAGATTTCTTGAACTTTTCTCCTTTGGCTGAGTCGTCCTTAGCATATATGGTGCCTGTTCAAATTTGACTGGCTTCCCCAAATTCTGGGTCTGTAGCAATTTGACCAGAGTCCCTTAGACCTGCACAAAGGAATAGCAAGGAGCTCAAAGAAAGGTGTGAGTCTCATCCCTGGACCTGACTTCCTCCCCACTCTCTCACAGGCAAGCCTGAAGGGAAGGCCTCAGACAAAGGTAAACTCTCAGTGAAGAACACAGGGCTGCAGCGCTCCTCCTCAGATGCTGGCCGGGACCGCCTGGCGGATGCTAAGAAGCCCCCCTCAGGCATTGCCCGACCCTCCACCTCAGGCTCCTTTGGCTACAAGAAGCCTCCCCCAGCCACAGGCACGGCCACTGTCATGCAGGCAGGTGGCTCGGCCACCCTAAGTAAGATCCAGAAGTCATCAGGCATCCCAGTCAAGCCGGGGAATGGGCGTAAGACCAGCCTGGATGCTTCCAACAGCACCGAGCCCGGATTCATGGCGCCCGGGGCCCGCGCCAACATCCAATATCGCAGTCTGCCCCGGCCAGCCAAGTCCAGCTCCATGAGTGTGACAGGCAGGGGCGGACCCCGTCCTGTGAGCAGCAGCATTGATCCTAGTCTCCTCAGCACCAAACAAGGAGGCCTCTCAACTTCAAGGCTGAAGGAGCCTTCGAAGGTTGCTGGGGGTCGGACTACCCCAGCCCCAGTCAACCAGACAGACCGGGAAAAGGAGAAAGCCAAGGCCAAGGCAGTGGCCTTGGACCCAGACAACGTTTCCTTGAAGAGCATTGGCTCACCAGAGAGCACCCCTAAGAATCAAGGGAGCCACCCACCAGCCACCAAGATTGCGGAGTTGCCCCCAACCCCACTCAGGTACCAGCATTCCTCTGCACTCCTCCCCTCCCCTCCTCTTCTCTTCTGTCCTCATAGCCCTGGAATGGTAACCGATCACATTGACATAGCAGTACTTAAAGGTTTTTACAAAGCACTTTTCTCACAACAACTCTATGAGAATTAGCTCAAGTATTATTATATTTATTTTTAAATCATTAGATTATTTTAAAATAGATTTTTATTAATCTTTTTTTCATCACCTTGATTTTCCCCTCTATCTCTACCCCACTCTCTCCCAGGGGACCATCCTTTTACAACAAAGAAATTGTTTTGTTTGTTTTAAAAGAAAAAAAAAAGAGAGGGGTAGCTAGGTGGTGCAGTGGATAGAGCACCAGCCCTGAAGTCAGCAGTACCTGAGTTCAAATCCAGCCTCAGACCAAATACTTGACACTTACTAGCTGTGTGACCCTGGGCAAGTCACTTAACCCCAACTGCCTAAAAACAGAAACAAACAAGCAAAAAAAAAAGAAAAAAGAAAAAGAGGAAGGGGGGAAAATCATTAAAAACCAATCAACAGATTAAAAAAAAAACAAACAGCTAATGTTAAATTCAATACTCCATACCCATGGACCCCAGCCTCTGAAAAGGAACAGGGGGAATTGTCTTCTCATCACTCATCTTTGGGACCAAACTTGGTTTTTTTATAATTTAGTGCAAATATTATTAACCCCATTTACAGATGAGAAAGTAAAGGGGTGGAGAAATTAAATGATTTGTCCAGGGTTGGAGCAAGGAATCAAACCCGGTTCTCCTGATGCTAAGTCCAGCATTTTCTTAGCTGTAGCATGCTGGTCCCCATAATACATTACTTATGCTATATTAATTAATGTGCAGGGCTCTTTATAAAAGGGTTTATTTCTTCCTCTGTGCATGTACTCTTTTTCCTTTGACTATCAGGGTCTACGTCTCCTCCTTCCAGTGTTTCCCAATCGCACTCAGTACTAGGCTGCCCACAGGAAAGGGATCCTTAGTAAATGATGTTTTCTTGACTTGATTTCCCTCAGGGCCGCATCCAAGAGCTTTGTCAAGCCTCCCTCTTTGGCCAACTTGGACAAGGTCAATTCCAACAGTCTGGACCTACCATCCTCCAGTGAAGTCCACGCCCCCAAGATCCCAGATCTGCATCCCACAGGCTCAGCAGCGGGTGGTCCCCTTCCCACTTGCTTCACTCCCAGCCCAGCACCCATCCTCAATATTAACTCAGCCAGCTTCTCTCAGGGCCTGGAGCTTATGAGCGGCTTCAGTGTCCCTAAGGAACCCCGCATGTACCCCAAGCTCTCTGGCTTGCACAGGAGTATGGAGTCGCTCCAGATGCCAATGAGCCTGCCCAGTGCCTTCCCCAGCAGTACCCCTGCCCCCACCACGCCTGTACCCCCTGCTGCACCCCCAGAGGAAGAGGCAGGGGAGCTGACCTGGAGTGGGAGCCCAAGAGCTGGGCAGTTGGAAAGGTAAGAAAATGGCGAGTGGAGCTGTCTGCCTGGCCCTAGCCCCTTGCTCTTACCTGCCAAATTAATGTAGCTGACTGATCCTTCTCACCATCACCATCCCCCTCCTACCCCTTACCCCCACTCCCTTTATTATCCTAGTTTCCAAAGAAGTTCTTAACCTAAGCTTTGCTTCCTAATCCTTGTAAAGTGTTTAGCTTTTCCAGGAGTAAAAAGACCCTCCTGGGAAATTATCCATGACACTCTCTAGGGCCTTTTCTTCTCTCTTTTTGTTTATGGAAATAAAGTAGTTCATTGTTCTATCAGATCTGGGTGCTCTGTAAGCCTCCAGGGCTTTGCCGAATTACCTCCAGTGAATCCCTCAGTCACTTAGTCACAAATGCTGTCTTCTGAGTTAACACACGTAGCACTTTGCATCCTTTCCAGTCACATATTATCCATGCACATCTTCTTCTTGCTCTTAGACGGCAACACCTGATGTTTGGATCTCCCTTAGCATCTAGCCTAGTGTTATGCACACAGTAGGTGCTAAATGAATGTTTGTTGCATGAAATGGAACTGATTTGAACATATATGACATTCTCCTCTTTCATTCCTACAGTAATCAGCGAGATCGAAACACACTTCCCAAGAAGGGGCTCAGGTAATCCTGGACACACTTTTCTCTCTTCTTCCCCTACAGCCTCTTTGCCTTCATTCCTAACATTTCCTTCCATTCACCCACCTCCACTTGCTAGTTTAGTGACCCATTGCCTGGCCTACATGATTTATGAGTCAACCCTATATGAATTATTCTTTCCTGGTAAGAGGAAAAACAACATGTTTCTGCAGGAGAAACAGTGATTTGCACATAGTGGGTGACTAATAAATGTTGATTAAGTTGAATTGAGACAATAAACACACCCCTTTCACCTATGCCATCTGATTTTATTCTGGGATAATTGCATCTCCTTCTCCCCAAACCACAGGATAACATTCAAATATCTGGTATAATTCAGATGGCCTCAAAAGGGCATCTTACTTGGCCAAATCCATGGTAGACCTTTTGGTGAGCCAGTGGTTATGGCCAGAGAGTTATCTAGTCTGAGGTGGCATGGTATGAGGGGAAAATACTGAACCTAGAAATGAGAAACATGAACCTCGGTTTCCTCTTCCACAAAATGAAAATAATAACACTTTTACTAACTAAACTTATAGGTTGTTTTGAGGAAAGGGCTTTGTAAACAAGGGAGGAAGGAAGGAAGGAAGGAAGGAAGGAAGGAAGGAAGGAAGGAAGGAAGGAAGGAAGGGAGGGAGGGAGGGAGGGAGGGAGGGAGGGAGGGAGGGAGGGAGAGAGGGAGAAAGGAAAGGAGGGAGGGGAGGAAGGAGGGAGAGAGAGGAAGGGAGGAAATAAGTATTAAGTGCCTACTATGTAATAGGCCAGTGGTGGGGAACTTGCAGCCACGAGGCCACATGTAGCCTCTAGACCCTCAAGTGCGGCCCTTTGATTAAATTCAAATTTCATAGAACAAATCCCTTTAATAAAAGGATTTGTTCTGTAAAACTTGGACTCAGTCAAAAGGCTGTACTTGAGGACCTAGAGGGCCACATGTGGCCTCAAGACCACAGGTTCCCCACCCCTGTACTAGGCACTGTGCTAAGTATTTTACAAATAAATCATTTGGTCCTCACAACCACACCAGGAAAACAGGTACTTTTATTGTCTCCACCTTAGGTTGAGAAAACTGAGGCAAACAGGTTAAGTGACTTGCCAAAGGTCACACAGCTAGTAAGTGTATAAAAGCTACATTTGAACTCAGGTCTTCCTGACTCCCAGCCCAGTGCTCTATCCCCTGTGCCATTTAGCTACAGAACCTAATATGTGACCCCTAGTGAAGTGTTCCTGGTTCTACCTTCTAATGCTACTTAAAAATTAGTGATATTGTTCCTATGATCACGAGTCAAATGGTACATTCTCTACATGCAGCCATGTGGCCCCAACATGATATATAGTGAAAAGGTCTTAGAATCAAAAGATGAGTTCAAGTCTTTGGTCTGGCACTTGCTAGTTGTGTGAATGAGGGCAAGTCGTTTAATCTCTCGGTTTCCTCATCTGTGAAATGGGGATAATAAGGGGCAGCTAGGTGGCACAGTGGACAGAGCTCTGGTCTTGGAGTCAGGAGGACCAGAGTTCAAATCCAACCTCAAACATTTGACACTTTACCTGGATTGCCTCACCAAAAAAGCAAAAGCAAAAACAAAAAAATGAGGATAATAGTAGCACCTCCCTCACAGGGCTGTTGTAAGAATCCAATGAATTACCATTTGTAAAGCCCTGAGCAAACCTTAAGGTGTTGTATAAAAGCTAGTTGTTGTTGTTGTTGCTAATTAGCCCTCCTGCAGGCTGGTGGTGATTCGGGGCCTCCATCCTTGCCCTGCTGTAGGGGGTAGAGAACTGGACTTGGAGTCAGGAAGGTCAAGACAGATCTTTCAGCTGACACCAACCAGCTCCTCTGTAAAACAAGAGGGTTGGGGCTAGATGACCTCCGAGTGCCTTTCTAGCTCTAAATTCATGGGCCATGATACCTTTGGCAGACTGGGGCTGTTACCCTTACCCGTCCCCTTGTGCTCTCCTTCTCAAGCCAGATCAGCTCGGGCCTCCCTTCCCCTGGTCTCATCCAAAGCCCTGACACTATTTATACCCTGGCTGCTTCCTCCAGGTATCAGCTACAGTCCCAGGAGGAAACCAAGGAGCGGCGGCACTCCCATACCATTGGGGGGCTGCCAGAGTCAGACGACCAGTCAGATCTGCCTTCGCCACCTGCCCTTTCCATGTCTTTGAGTGGAAAGGGCCAGCTTACCAACATAGGTCAGTGCTTTGCTTTACTTTCTTTCTTTTTTGGTCAACTTACTATTGCATAGGAGGAAGCAGGGACCATCCTTTAGGGCAGGAAAGCCAGCCTCTTGGTTTTCCAACTCTGACTCAATTCATTGAGTGATGCATTAGGGATGATGGTAGTAGGGAGTTTTATGGTGCTGCTGTTTCTCCATCCCAAACACAAACCAATGGATATTGGCAAATTGCTTTGGAATCCTAAATTAGAAAAGTGCCCGATAGATACTTGGTATTCTAAATCTTGCCTGGGACCAACATCATGGTGGGAGTACTGAGCACCAAAAGAGGGTGTTCTCCTGTGTCCCTGCTGGCATCACAACCAAGAAACAAGTGCCCCCATCTCTTTGTCCTACCAAGCCTGGTCAGAAGTAGGGCACCTTCATGAAGGTAAGGAGAAAGGAGGGCAGGGTAATGGAAAAGCTTTGAGTTTAAAGGAGAGAATCTGCCCCCAAGCAGCAGGAAAACACCACACCCAGTTCCTCAGCTTTACCAGCTGCTGGCTCTGGATGAAGGCCACCCTACCCTCAGGCAGAGTGCTGCCTAGGACTTGTTCTGCCCTTCGGTCCCACCCAGTCTTTTCTTGCCTTGGTGCTCTAGGGAGGGGAAGCCAGGATATGACTTCGGTGCTCAAAGGGAAGAAGGGAAGGAACAGCAGCAGCTGGGCACCGCCAGGCTGGGCTCAACAGGGCATGGGGCCAGGCTGTCAGGGCTGTGTGTGGTGACTGTCTGAAAACCATTCCCCATTCCATTGGCAAGAAGGATAAAGGTCCAAGGGAAGGGTCCCAGGCTCTGTAACATGGCACTAAGAATCTGCCACCAGTGAAATTGTGCAGAATTAGAGGTCAGCACAGCACAGCACAGAAAAAAACTGGAATGCTGAGAAGGGAAGGTGGTTAAGTATCAATCATCAGATCAAGACGGGTTATTATGCAAAGGATAGGGACCAGTTGTTCATTATCCCTACAGAGGACCAAGCAAAAAGAAATAGACTTATAGTTCCTGCTTAGCTGCTGAGGCTAAACAGGACCAGAGGGAAAGATTTGTGAGAAATGAGAGAGAAAGGGTAAAAAACCTTCATCTAAAGAGATCTTTCAATTAGACATTGATCGTTTGGCAAGCACCTATCAGAATACCAGGCACTGTCCCAAATACAAAGACAACAATGAAGTAGTCCCTCTTCTCTAGAAGATTCCACTGGGGAGAAATGGATGTGTATGTATATAATAAATCCAAGATAATGGGGGAGGGGAGGACAAGGTGCAAGCCAAGGCATCAGGAAAGGCCTCATGGAGAAGATGGCACTTGAGCTGAGTTTTTGAAGAAAACTAGGGATTCTGGAAGGTAGAGGGGAGGAGTGAGGGCATTCCAAGCATGGGAAGCAGCCTTTGCCAAGGCACAGAGATGTTAGGTAGTGTGATGTGTGAGGAACAGTAGGAAGGCCAGTCTGGTTGGACTACAGCATGTGTGAAAGGGATTGGTATAATAATAAAGTTGAAAAGATAGATTACAACCAGGTTGGGAAGAGTTTTAAATGCCAAATAAAGAAGTTTGTATTTGGCCTAGAGGTAATTGGAGTCTATTGAGTTGAAGAGTTGGTCAGATTTGTGCTTTAGGAAAATCACTTTTGGCAGCTATGTGGAAGTTGGATTGGAGAAGGGAGAGGCTTAAGGCAAAAAATACACTTAGGAAGCTATTGCAGTGGTCTAGGGGAGATGTGATTAGGGCCTGAATTAGAGTGAGGAGAAGGGGAAGATGTGAGAGATGTTGTGGATATGGAATTGATAAGACTGGGCAGCTGAGTGGCTGAGAGAGAATGAGGAGTTGAAGATAGAGGAATGGATTTCCCTGATCATCCTGACTCTAGGCCCGAACCTGAGCGTACACCAAATATGAAGGAGGCTTTGACCAATACGTCTCTGACCCAATCTCATCATCTGCCTCTAAGCCAGGGGAACTCTGGGTAGGGAGAGTCATATTTCTTGCTACCCTAATACTGCCCCCAGTAGTAGAGGAACACAACTCCACTATGACCACAATTTGAGGAAGAGACTTTGATCCCTTAGAAAATACTAAACCCCTACATCCCATAGCTCCACCCACCTTCTCCAGTCTTCCCTATAATTCAAATCCCTCTCTTGGTCTTTGTACTTTTGATGGTGGGGTCCTAGATCCTCCTAAACTGTCAGGTATCAGAGTAATGACATCATTCCCATTTTCCTGGATTCATCCATGTTGCTAGGAGGTACTACCATGATGGCTGCCAGATTCCCTGGCCTGGCTTTCTCTAAAAGAGTGAAAGCATCCAGGGTAGGGGTCCTTAGAATCAGCAACCATCTTTGCTCCCTCTCTCCAGATTGCAGTCTTATTCCATTGAGACCCCAGCCTCACCACCCCAAATTCCCAATTGCACGCACATTCCCACTGGCCCAATTTCCCCCTCCCTCCCCTTGCCCCAGTCCCTCCCTTCTTGCCAGATGTCTCCCACACACCTGCTGCTCCTTCCCCCAAGGGACTGGAGCGCTCACGACCCTGCCTCTTCTCCCTGCCCTCCCCCTCCCTTCCCTCTATCCTTCCAGTGAGTCCCACTGCAGCCACCACGCCAAGAATCACCCGCTCCAACAGCATCCCCACCCACGAGGCGGCCTTCGAGCTATACAGCACCTCCCAAATGGGAAGCACCCTGTCCCTGGCCGAGAGACCCAAGGGGATGATTCGGTCAGGATCCTTCCGAGACCCCACGGACGACGGTGAGACTTCATGCATCGCGGTTCACGCTCATTCCAGCTCAGCTGGGGATTCCTCTCACCCACCACTTCCACCACCACCTCCACCCCCACTACCTTCTCCTCCTCCTCCTCTTCCTCTTCCTCCACCACCACCACCACCACCACCACCACCACCACCACCAAATACACAATCCCAAAAACATCAAGTTGGGGCCATTTAGTTTTCTCCCCTCAAAAAGCCCTGGTGGCCCCAGAGACCTCAGGACATCATTTCTAAGCCCTGGGACATTGGGACCCAGCATCAGCCACTGGGGAAGGGGGAGGGAAATTAAGCATGGAAGAGTTAAGTGGGACCAAGCAACAAGGGATCTTTCCCAATGATCTCCCAGAATATACACCAATTATAGAGTAACATGGTAGGAACTTACCTCAGCTAGAACAAGGCACCGGCTTGTCCCTCTCACACTCATGTTTCTAGGCTTCGATTTAGAGAAGGGTGTATGGTCTTATTTGTGACGGTTGGAGCCTGAAAGGTCAAAAAATTCTCGGGGGCTTGGCTCTCCCATTATTATTCATTTCCAGGATTCCCATTCCAAGAAACGTTCCTTAGAGATTTCCTATAGTTCTTTTGCTTTCCCCTGTGTGGATCAGAGTGAATGTTCTTCACAAGATTCTTTCATTTGGCTAATCCCCAGGATTCTATGGAAGGCCCTAGAAGTGGGGGACAGGGGACAGGCCAGACTACAGGATTGCCTCTGACCAGCTCTGATAAGAAACTCACCCTCCTCTCCAGCTCCACAGCTTTTCAGATAGGGAAGACTCATACCTTCCCGTGAAATCCTCCTCTCCCTCTCTCCCTTACGCCAAGTGCCCCTGGGACCAGGCTGAACAAGGAGTTAACACCCTCACAAGGTGGATTTTGGAAAGAGAGGTTGTCTCTTCACAGGACCTCGTCTTCTCAGCTGAGATCAGGGACCAGCTTTTGAACAGTTATGATGCCAGTTGTGTATCCCCTGCCCTGTTCCCTCTCTGTTGACTCTTGATGCCGTCCAGAGTCCAAGCGCCTTTTCCTGGAAGCTTCTGTTAATTCTTTGTATTCTGTTTCTCTCTTTCAGTTCATGGCTCTGTGCTGTCGTTGGCTTCCAGCGCCTCCTCCACCTACTCTTCAGTAAGAGCATTGAGTTGTCCTCCCACATCTCCCAACCTTGCCTTATTCTATTCTATCTCTTCCCAGAAGCCCCTCATTTAGGGGTGACTTAGGAGGAGGGAAGAATTGCTTTCTCTTCATGTATTTTGCCACGTGGGTTTCTGGATGGGGAAGAAGGCTAAGACTTCATAGCAATCCATCATGGACCAAAATTCCTGGATCCTTGTTTCTGCCACCCTAGGCACCCTTGGTGTCTGAGTTTTCTTTTCTGTAAAAGAGAGAGAATCCCTTAGGGGTCTAGCTGTATTGTGATAAGGAGAAAAGAATGAGGTGGAGTGGCCTTCCAGAACTCCTAGATTCTAATAGCCAACAACATTCATGGCCTGTTGGCTGTGTACTGAACACAGGGAATTCAGGATTTCCAAGATTCTGAGTTCTTCCCTACTATCTTTTTCCCTCCTCCCTAGAGACCAACAAGCTGAGATGGATAGATGGGAGAGGGACAAGCAGCCTGTGCTTAGGACTTAGAGGAAAGAAGAAAAAGAATCCCAGATCATAAGTCATCAACAAAAAAGCATTTATTAAAGGCTACCATTGTGCCAGGCATTGCACAAAGTTTTAATGATACAAAGTGGCTTTGGTGATGATCTAGTTCAACCTCCTTGAATTACAATTGAGGAAACTGAGGCCCTGGAAGGTTTAAGCATCTACAAGTGTAGTAAGCAATGGGGAGGCGATCAGAATGTAGATTCTGAGTCTAGCCTTCTTCGCACTCCACTCCTTCCTCCAAGTGAGCTGGTGCCATTTTCTCAGCCCTTCTATAAAATAATGAAATAAGTTCAGTGTGGCCTCTAGGGAAATCAGCCCTGATTTCAGTCTAGTTGGGGGGTGTAGAGTGGGGTTCTTTGGGAAAGGCAGGGGCGTTAAATGGAGTTCCAGTTGCTCCCCATTTCTGTCACGCTTCAAATCTACCCTGCCGCTGATGACCCTGCTCGCCTCCATTGTAACTGCTTCCTTTCTTTCTCTCCCTCTCTCCACTTCTGTGCTCCCTTCTTCAGGCTGAGGAGAGGATGCAATCTGAGGTAGGGCCCAAAGCCACTCTCTCTGCTTCTTAACACTACAACACCCCTCTTCCCTACCAGGCCTTTTGCTTTCCCCCCTACCCATGGTTTCTATTTGCCAACTTTTCTTATAGCAAATCCGGAAACTTCGAAGGGAGCTGGAATCATCACAGGAAAAAGTGGCCACACTGACATCTCAGCTGTCTGCCAATGTAAGTGTTTTGTTTGGGGGGAAGAAGAGAGGCAAACAAAGTTTACCATATGTTATCCTTAGCTGGGAAGGAGAGGACGTGGTACAGTGTCAGTGACCTGGGCTCTCTTCAAAGCTCTAATCTGACTACGAGGGCTAGTCCCTCGACCTCATTAAGCCTCAGTCTTCCCATCTATAAAATGGGAAGATGCATCCTTGTGTCTCCCCCCACCTTGCCTTACCCAGTATATGTATTATGAGGTTGGATAAAATCATGCTTGCAAACAGCTTTGAAATCCCAAAAGAAAAAAAAGTGATATTTATCATAGAGGCTGTGTCAAGATTGAGGTAGTCGTGCCATTTACTTTGGGCTATCATGGCCCTGAAGAAGTTTATAAGGCCCTTGAAGTGGGTCACTCCCACTGCCCTAGGGCATATGATGTTTTCACCCTGACACGAGGAGGCAGCCCAGATCTGGGTCATCACTATTCTCTTTGCTGACCACATATCACCACACAGAAACCCAATTCCTTCACGTAGAATTGCCGTTTCCTGTTAGTCTCCACAAACAGCTAACCAGAATGATCTGAGCTTTAGGCTGGGGAGCCAGAATTCCTGGTTTCGGCTGTCTACCTGCCCTCACTGATAAGGTTTAGGATGAGTCATTTCCTTTGTACAGGTCTTGGTTTTCTTTTCTGTTTAATGGGAAGAAGTCACCCCAACAAGGCTGTGGGAGTGTCTCTGCCCTGCCCCTCCTCCAAAAGAGTAAACACAAAACATAACAGCCCTACTGTGAATGGGGAGGGTGGGACAGCTATTTTCTCCCAAAACTGTAAACAACAGCTGAGCCTATCTGCAAGAACCATCCAAGTGTTCAAACAAAAGTAACCGTGTCTGCAATTTCCACAGTGGCTCCGGTTTCTCCTTCCCCTCTGGGGGACCCAGCTGCTGGACCTGAGGAGCCATCCTTGAACCAAGTACAACAGCTCCCACACTCAAAACTAAGCATGTCCATGTCCCCAGTAAAATCCAAGGGAACCACACCATACTGACCATACTCTTTTCCCCAAACCCAATTCAGGAGGCATTTTTTTAAAGAGTGACACCAGCTACGTTGAAAGTTCATCTCAAGCACTCTTTCCCAACCCTGAGGAACCATTAGAATTGAAACATAGCTGCCCAAGGTCCATCTCTTCAATCCCATTCCCCACCAAGTCTTACTCACCAGAGTTGGGACCTGGGTCATGTCCCAGAGACCCTGGGGAATTCTTGTCCAGGAGGAGAGAGAGAGAGAGAGAGAGAGAGAGAGAGAGAGAGAGAGAGAGAGAGAGAGAGAGAGGCAGGTGCCAGGGAGGCAATGAACATTATTATTTCTGATTAATTTACACTGCAATCTGCAAACCATCATGTTGTCAGGGCTGGGACAAGGCCAAGAAAAGGAATTTGGAAAATAATTTTCTTAGAACAGGAAGTTCCCTTTGACTTAGAGAACAAACCCTAACACCCCAAAGTGGCATGTTCTACATCTGAGAGGAAGATCTTGTAGAAGTATGGGGCTCTCTCCCTAGCTGCAGAAATGACTTGAGGACCTTGGTCAGATTTCCCGGTATTACTCCCGCTACTTCCTCTGGCTCTCACCCTGGCTTTGTCATTTTCCACACAACTCCTAGATTGCTGGAGCTTTGAGCACATCCTAGAAATAGAGAGGGAATCCAAACTGCTACACCCCTCTCAAATGCCAATGCAGTCCATTCAGCATGACTGCTCAACTCTGAGGTCATTTTGCAACTTTGGTTATGGGGGTAGGAAGATCCTATAAGCCAAAGAGACAGAAAAGCAGTTGGGAGAGAAGCCCAGCTGAGATGGAGAGAGGTCCTTTACCCCAAAAGAGACTGGGATGATGAAGGAGGCAGAATGTAATGGGCAGGAAATCCTCTGAGGAAGCAGACAGGTGGTCTGTTTACAGAGGAGAGTCAGAGAATGCATTAAAAAAAAGAAAAGAGAAACAGCAGATGATGAGGTCAAGATGATGGCAGTTTTCTAGGCAGTGGGAGAAAACAGACAACTCAGAGCCACAGAAGACATCTCTCCACTTGGGAATCCTAGTCCTGGTGGCAAATTTATAATGATAATGGGAAAGGAACCTGATTGGAGACAGTAAGGTCTGTCTGTATTTAGGCACAGATGAGAGGGCGTGGGTGCTGGGGGGCAGAAGAATGGGCAAAGGCTAGATTGAGGGTGTGGGGCATTGCCTATAAGTCCCCTGACATAGCATCTCATCCTGAGGATTTCCCTCTAGAAGAGCCCCACTAGTTAGGCATTCACTGTTACTTGCCTAAAGTCCCCAGCTCGGTCTGCCATCCTACATTCTTCATTTCTTCTCCTGCCCTAATTTCTCCCCTCTCCTGTCCCTCAGTGTCATGTCCCCACCCGCTTCCACGCATCCATCTGCCAGCCAGCCATCCAGGGCACAGGCTTATGGCCAGACCATGTGGGGATCAGCCTTACCCAGTCACTTGGCTCATCTGAATCCTTCCCCAAGCCAGTACACCTGACACCTAGTGGTCAAACTATGTAATGGCCCTTAGATCAGATTAAATCTCTCCCAAACCCTGTACAGAAGACCTTAACTCTTATTTCCTGAAGTGGAGAGTATAGTTAAGGACCCAAGAATTGGAGGGTAAGCAAGAACCAAATAAGCATGAGCAAAAGTGGAGTATATATACTATTCCAGCAAACTCCTGGAAAGCTGGGGGTCTAAACCTGGGATCCATAGATAGATTTCAGGGGGGTCCATAAACTTGGTAAAGAAAAACATTACATCATTTTCACTAACCTTTGGTTTCCTTTGCAAATCTTATGTATTTAATTTCATGCATTTAAAAATATTCTGAGAATGGTTCCATAGGCTTCACTAGACTGACAAAAGGGTCCTTGTAAACAAAAAAGATTAAGAATCCCTTTAGCAAAACCAGAATGTCGTACACAGTAACAGCCACGTTGTGCGATGACTAACTTTGATAGACTTAGGTCTTCTCAGCAATGCAAGGATCTAAGACACCTCCAAAAGTCTAATGATGGAAAATGCTATCTACATCCAGAGAAAGAACTATGGAGTTGGAATGCAGATCGAAGCATACTATTTGCTCTATTTTTTTCTGTTTTGTTTTGTTTCCTCTTTCTTGTGGTTCCTCCTATTGGTTCCAGTTCTTCTTTACAACATGACTAATGTGAAAATATGTTTAATAGGAATGTAAATGTGGAGCCTATATCAGATTTCATGCTGTCTTGGGGAGGGAGGGGCAGAAAATTTAAAACTCAAAAGCTTATAGAAGTGATTGTTGAAAACTAAAAATAAATTAATTAATAAAAAAGATTAAGAATCCCTTCCCTAGAGCATATTTTAGAGGGTCTACAAATACATTTGGAAAATGTATTTGGCAGGGATGATTTTTAAAGGCGTTTGTCAATATTGAAGAGTTCCAGAACTGGTTTTATGGCATTCCCCCCTGTTCCACCTCTACTCCCAAATCTTGGGTCATTTAGAAGCATGTCTTTGCATTTGTTTTAGGCTAACCTGGTGGCCGCCTTTGAACAGAGCCTGGTGAACATGACATCCCGTCTTCGGCACCTAGCTGAGACAGCAGAGGAGAAGGTAAGAAAGCTAAGAAAAGGAAGGAGCTAGTTTGAAAGGCCTGGGTGGATGGTGGAACAGGGCAAGGAGGGATTAAGACCAGTCTGTAAAGGCTGACCCTTTTTGTATCTCCCTAGGGTGCTAGAGCTTTCTATTAAGGATGCTACTATCTCTCTGGGAACTTTGCTAGATTCTCACCCAACCCCCTGAGGCACATACCACGACTGCCCACTTCTCACCTCAACAAACCAGATAGGATTCTCCAGACCTCTAAATAATGGCACCATGTTGGTTTTTCCCTAGGACACAGAGCTGCTGGATTTGCGAGAGACCATAGATTTCCTGAAGAAAAAGAATTCTGAAGCTCAGGCTGTCATCCAAGGAGCTCTTAATGGCACAGACGTCACACCCAAGGGTGAGGTCCTAGGAAACAGATAGAGAGGGTACAAAGAGAGGGGAAAGATACATCCATGCTTTAACCAGCTGCCAGGTCCCACCAAAAACTGCCAAGGGCAGCTATCCCTACCTTCCTCCCAGTCACTCTCCAATCTGGTGTAGTAACCAGTAAGTGAAAGGTAAACTGAGTTTTATAATCTGCTATTTACTGTTCGGTGGTAGAAGTGTAAGAGGGTCTGCCATTTTGAGTAAGAGAATAGAGAGAGAGAATTTGTGGGTTAGCATCTCCCTGCTAACTTTAACTTGAGTTAAAGCTCTCCTCCATCCACCCATCCCCACTGCGCCCCCTGCAGTTCAAGAACTGAAACATCCATCAGAGGGCTATAAAAATGATGTCTTTGTACAGTGCTTTCTAACTTAATATAAAGGGATTTCACATATGTTATATTACTTAAACCTCACAACCCTGTGTGATGGGTGAATAGTAATGCCGCAATTTTTACCTGTAAGCAAACTAAAGCCCAGAGACACTAAATGATCTGCCAACATCACAGGATGACTTATTCAGTCAATCGGTAAACGTTTTATTAAGTACCTACCATGTGCCAAGCACATAGTGCTAAGTGATGGAAATATAAAAAGAGGCAAAACAGTCCCTGCCCTCAAGGAGCTTACAGTGTAATTGAGAAGATAATATATGAACAAATATATTATTCTTCATTTCATGTGTGTTATGCGAGGTTGTCATTGTCATCATCAAATTATTTTGGATGAGACTCTGCCCTAGACTGGGTGTTTTCCCAGAGATCCATGTCCTGTCCTCAAGGATTTTTTTTCATTTTTTCAAAAAAAAATTTTTGCCACCTTTTTCTCCATCACTCTTCTCAAAGATTATAATACCCAGGGCAATGTTCCTGGAAAGTTTGTTTGACAAACATATTATTTTTGTCTTATAATTAAAGGTAACTTCAGTTGAATTCTCTTTTGAAACTTTCACCACATGCTGTAAGGATGTATGAAGACACTTAAGAGTATCAGGGGCTTCAAAACTCATGCTCTTATTTATTTTCCCCATGACTTAAAAAGTCAAATGGAAAGTCCGAAGCTGCATCTCTGATCATTAGAGAGTGAAAGGATGGCTAAACACTGTCTTTTTTTCTCTGAGATATGACCATAGGACTGGTTGGGTCCTTCTGAAGGTGGACTTATTTTAAGGTTATTTTTAAGTCTTCCTTGTCTTCTTCACATCCTCCCTGGACTTGTAGAGCTTCGGATCAAGAGACAGAACTCTTCAGACAGTATCTCCAGCCTCAACAGTATCACCAGCCACTCCAGCATAGGTAGCAGCAAGGATGCTGATGCTAAGAAGAAGAAAAAAAAGAGTTGGGTAAGTGAGGGTGAGGAAGAAGGGGACTATGTAGGACCTGTTCAAACTTCCCTGGGGGATTAGTACTTGTCCCATCCACCCATTCTTGCCCAGATGTGTTACCAGCTAAGTGCAAGGTCTACTAACTTCTTTTCCCTAAACTATCTGTGCTCTGATCACCTACCATGTCCCTATGGGACTCTCCTAGCCTGACTAGGCCCAAGGGTCCATTCCAACTGGAGGAAGGCTGAGGAGATATAGATCAACCCCCATTCCCATCAGAATTATGGAGAGGAGAGGGGTCTATAGAGGAAGGGGACAATTGCTCACTCTCTGTAGACCTCTCTAGCTTGCCTCTGAAGGATCCTTTCTAGAATGCTTTGGAGAAGGGAGTTTTTATGGGTGGTTCCCTCTCTGTTCCAGGCCACCTCTGAGGAAGATTTTCTAGAACTTTTAGCCTAAAGAACACCACTGCATTTATTTTTTCTGATTGTCAGATTTTCAGATCTGCATTTATTTCTCTGATTAGCCTCTGGAAAGTCTTTCTCAAACTCCCCAGGTAGCTTCTGGAACAATCTTGGCTCCTTGTAGTGCTTTGTGGCAAACAGGGGACCCTACCACCACCAATGGAAATATCACATTCCTCTCAACCCCTCAGTAAGCCTGGTCTAGGGCTTAGATCCTTGGGGCAGCTAGGTGGCACAGTGAATAGAGCACTGGCCCTGAAGTCAGAAGGACCTGAGTTCAAATCCAGTCTCAGACCAAATGCTTAACACTTACTAGCTATGTGACCCTGGGCAAGTCACTTAACCCCAATTGCCTTAAAAAAAAAAATAACTCCCCAACCCCAACAACCCCTATACCTTGCAGCTCAGAGGAAGCCCTAGCTGGATGAAATGAGTGATTAAGTGTTGCTTTTTTTTCCCTCTCAAATGCTGACCTCAAACCCCTATTTTTTTCCAGGTCTATGAGGTAAGACTCCACCCCTCCCCACTTCCACCTTTCCCTTTGCCATGACTTCCCTATTTCCAGGGCAACTCATTCACCCTGTACCAGATGCCCACTGATTAAACTAATCATCACATTCATGCCATTATTCTTAACTCACCTTGCTGCATGGTCCATCCATAGCTACTCCAAATGAGCACTGAGGAGGTGGTCTGATTGGAGAACTAATGGGAAAGAAAGTTACACACTACCCTGAATCATTCATTCTGCCCCCTCTCATTAAAATTCTCCCCCAAGTCTCTGTCTCTGGCTCTCTCTCTCTCTCTCTCTCTCTCTCTCTCTCTCTCTCTCTCTCTCTCTGTCTCTCTCTCTCTCTCTCTGTCTCTCTCTCTCTCTCTCTCTCTCTCTCTCTCACACACACACACACACACACACACACACACACACACACACACCTTTATAAGGGGGCCTGTAGCCAAATTAAGCTCTATCACTTCAGAGAACGGTCTTCCATGGGGTTACCCAGTTCCTATAAACCAATCACATGAAACTAACTAGAAGCCCAGAGTGGAAATGCTTACTCAATAAAAGTTACTTCAGTCCCAGGCTTTAGAAGCCAGTCTAGTTCTGGCCTTGCCTAAAGGATATTATTCTAAAATAAGACAAAAGAAAGATAAGGAGTGAATATTCTCCATCTGAGGATTCCTGAGATTCCAGGGAAGATCTATAGCCATCTTGGGAATTGGAGTGATCAGTCTAGGGCAGATTCAAGGTCCCTGGTATAAAACAGGTATCTGAGGATCCCTCAAATTATTCCAGATTCATATTGATCATGTTGATCCAGATCTAGTCTTGGGTAGGCAGGCAGTGTTACAAGAGTTGGTGGTATGAGGTTCATAGCCAAGGACATTCTTTCCCATGGTAGGCATCATAGCATCCCTAAGGTCCTGGTCAACTGCATTCTATCAGTTCAGTTAAACAGACACTTATTAAGTATTTGGCATGGACTCTGCATGGTACTAAGTGCTGTGAAGGATACAAAAGAAGGACAGGGCCCCTTCCCTCAATGAGCTTATAGTCTTGCTGGAAAGACAAGTCCTATAAATGTACTACGAAGCCAATAACAGATACTAGAAAGCAGATAATTAAGTGTCAAAGTAAGTGGTAGAAATTATAAATGCCATGACAAATGGAGTCATGTAATATGGGCTAAGGCAGTTGGGGAAGTCTCTGGAGTTGGACCACAAAGAATGATTAGAATTCATATTGGTTTAGAGATGGGATGAGGATGTTCCAGGCAAGAAGAGCTGAGGTGTGACAAGGAGTATGAACCTGGTGTTGGGAACTAAGGGGAGATAACATTGAATAAGTAAAATGGGACACAATTATAGAATGCCTTAAAGGGACCAGAAGTTTGTACCAGGTCCTACAGGCAATAAACATTTTTGAACATAAGGATGACATGATCAAAGTAGTGTTTTAAAACCAACCTAGTCTCATTGGAAAGATTGAAGGGATTGGAAAGGGAAGACTGGAAAAGGAGGAGATCAGTTAGGCAACCATTAGAATATTTAGGTATAAGCTGATGGGTACCTACCCACATTCTCATTAGCACCTTGCCTTGCTAGCAGAAGAGCTGAATAAGTTTGATTCAGTCGCCATTCAACAGTATTTATTAAATTCCTACAATGTGCAAATACTGATCTTAGGACATTGGTACCAGCCTTTTGTTTGGTAATCTATTTGCTTGCCTTTGGAAATACCCAGAAGGGATCTTGGGATGACCAGGGAAGCCAAATCTCAAGGTTAGTGGGCTCCCAGCAGAGCAGAGCGGTCATGACTTTAGCAATGATGATGTTGATGCTGGTTCAGTGCGTTCCTCATGGGACTTCCTTAGAATCCTAGGGAATCAGAATTACTACTTACTGGGCAACTACAGACACGAGGCCCCACATCTTGCATGTGCACACCTGCAGCAACCAATGCTGTGGTAATGGAATGGAAATGATACCAATCAGATGGCCCAGATTCCTAGTCCCAGTTCTCTCTTGACTTGTAATCCCCACTGGGCCTGAGCTTCTTTATCTATTAAATGAGGGGGATAGATGAAGTCAACCTTCAGGCCCCTTTCTAACACACAGACACACACATACACACACACACACACACACACACAATTCAGATATACACAAACAGAAATACACACACTCCTTATTCCCACATGTGTATACACTCATCATCCCTCATTACCTACTTTGATAGACACATACATATACCTGTCCCCACTATTACTGGACCATGCCCTGCCTCCAACTGCTTGATTATATCCCACTTAGTAAGAATCTGGTCACCAGCTACCCACCATCTGGAAGCTTTCACCGGCCAGCTCTTCCTATGTCCCAAGAGAGATTCCCTTCCCCCAACCACCTGGAAATGGAAGCCTCCAATATCTATAAAACCCCAATATTTTCCCCTTCCTTTCCCCTGCCACCCTGAAGCCCTGGTTCACCTCTATCTCTTGCAATATTTGGCACCATCCCTACTGCCTCTTGCCACCATCCCAAGTCTGTGTCCCTGGGTGTGTGTGTGTGCATTCATATGGGTGTGCATGCTGCATGATCAGAGCCTGCAACGTAGAACAGTTCCCTGGTTTGCGTCTTTAGCTCACATCTTTAAGTTCCATTTCAATAAAGCCTTCCCCAAGGAGGGAAAAGGGAAGGCAGTTGAGAGGTGATTCATTGGAGAGCACTGAAGCCTGGCTGGTTGGTTCGGGCCGTGACCAGGTGGGTCTCAAGAGGCATTGAGACACACTTGAGATCGCTCCTCCTGGCAGTTCCTAAGGAACCTGGGGTGGCCTATGTTTACAGTCAGTCCTGGTTGCTGGGTATTAGGCAGGTGAGCCCAGTCAGAGATTGAATCCTGAAGCCCAAATAATGCCAGACTCTAGACCAGAGGTTCTTAACTTGGGGCTCATGAACTTGGTTTTTTTTTTTAACATTTTGATAACTGTGTCTCAAAATAATTGGTTTCCTTTGTAATTCTATGTATTTTACTTTATGCATTTAAAAACAGTATTCTAAGAACAAACTTCCCCAGACTGCCAAAGGTGTCATGACAAAAAAAAAAAATTAAGAGCTCCCAGTCTAGATGTTAGTAAGTGTTCTGCTGGGAGAAATAGATTTGAGGCACCCACACTGCAGAGAGGTACCAGCCAGAGTCCGTGGACCTCACTGTGACTGTGCCATAACTGCCTTCTGTGCCTTGGAGAATCAGTACCTACAAGACTACCCTCTGAGATTGTTTCCCTGGACGTGAGAGGGAAGGCCCAAACCCAAGCCAAGTTCCCCACAAAGAAAAAGACCAGAAGATTCTATCTTCTCTCTCAGCCCCAGTTCCTAAAGAACTCTTCTACTCTTACCCTCTGATGCAAAGAGGGGTCTTAGAAGGAAAAGACTTAATCCCCCCTGACTGATATCCAACCATCAGGCAAAGTGTCTCTACCTTCACCTCTCTGTTTCAGGGTTTCCAAACCAGCCTTAGCTGGGTCCAGGGCTTGTCCCTGCCTCTCTAAGGCGAGGTCCTGATACACAACCCTCTACTTTGCTCCACTCTTGGTTCTGTTCTCTTGCAGCTGCGTAGCTCCTTCAACAAAGCCTTTAGCATCAAGAAGGGTCCCAAGTCAGCCTCTTCTTACTCTGACATCGAGGAGATTGCCACACCTGATTCCTCAGCCCCATCTTCACCCAAACTGCAGCACGGCTCCACTGAGACAGCCTCACCGTCCATCAAGTCCTCTAACTCCTCCTCTGTGGGCATTGATGTCACTGAGTAAGCCTCCCCCTCAACCCCAACTGTGACCTTACCTGCCTGAGCCAGGGTCCCATACCTGGAAGGCATTTCTTTCTCACCACAGTATGTCTGAATCCCTAGTGCCCTTCAAGGCTCAGCTTGCCATCTTCTATGTGAAGCTTTGTCTGATCTCCCCTCCCCAACTGCTAGTGATTTCCTTTTGCCCCCCCAAAAAACACTTTGTATTTATTTTGTACATCTCTTGTGTAGGGAGGCCTTGTAGCATAACGGATAGACTACTAGCCTCTAAATTAAGAAAATCTGAATTCAAATCCTACATTAGCTGTTTGACCCTAGGCAGGTCACTTAAAATCTCTGTTTCGCAGGAAACTCAACAATAATAATAATTATTATTATTCACACTAATATAGCACCTACTATGTGCCAGGCATATCGTGCTAAAGGTTTTACAAATATTATCTCACTGTATCCAGTATTACCTCACTGTATCCGCATAACAACCCTGGGAGGTAAGTGGTATTACCAAACAGAGGTTAAGCAATTTGTCCGAAGTTACATGGCTAATAAATGTCTAATACTGGATTTGAACTCAGGTCTTCCTGACTCCAGGTCCAGAGTTGTTATCCACTGAAATCATAAGTCCAGTGTGTGTGCGTGTATGCACTTGTATAGATACATATTGTCTCCTTTGAAGGCAGAAATTGTTTCATTTTTGCCTTTGTGTCTCCAGTATCTGATACAAAGCAGGTACTTGATTAAATGTTCGTTGGTTGATTGTTTTGACTGATGCTCCTCTGTAGGTCTTCGGGAATGCAATACTAGGAAATTGCCAAAAATCATTCCTCTTTAACTGTCCTAGCATGGAGGTAATGTAGGGATTGCCTTCATCCTTGATAGAAAACCCAATGATGCCTTATGAATCTGAAGGTACTAGGGACACATGTCTATATCTTAGTCCCCCTAGAAACACCCTGAAATCTTGGTATCACTGAAGGCAGCCTTGTCTGTCTCTTGCTTGTCCATTACAATGCTATTCCCCACCCAAATAGAATGTTCCATGCCAACGAGGAAGAGGAGGAACCAGAAAAGAAAGAGGTATCAGAGCTGCGTTCAGAGCTGTGGGAGAAGGAGATGAAGCTCACGGACATCCGATTGGAAGCTCTCAACTCTGCCCACCAACTGGATCAGCTCCGGGAGACCATGCATAACATGCAGGTTAGCACAGGGCCAGACAGCTGGTGGGAAGAGGGAGGAGGGTCTGGGTTCTGCTGAGCCCCAGAAGTCCCTAAGCCGACTCCTTAATTGCCTGCTTTCTCCCCAGCTGGAGGTGGACCTTCTAAAGGCAGAGAATGATCGGCTGAAGGTGGCTCCAGGTCCTTCAACTGGTTCAACCCCGGGGCAGGCCCCCGGTTCATCTGCTGCCTCATCCCCACGTCGTTCCCTGGGTCTCGCCCTGGCCCACTCCTTCAGTCCTAGCCTCACAGACACAGGTACCTGCTGCAAGATGAGGGCATTTAAGGGTGGGGAGAGGGAGGCCCACATCATCTGTCCCTACTCTGTCCTGCAAGGGCAACCTGAGTCCCACTTGAATCCATTTTCTTCTTTCCTGGGGATTGCTAAAGTTTTAGTGCTTTAAGGTTCACAAAAAAAAAAATTATTTATATTACCTTATTTGAGCCTCACAATAGGTAGGTGCTATTTTTATCCCCATCTTACAGATGAAGAAACTGAGGCTGAGAAAAGTTAAATGATTTGCAAAGGTTTACAGAGCTGGTAAGGATTAAAATTCAGGCTTTCTTGACTCCAAGTCCAGAACTCTATTTACTGCATTTAGGGATATTTAGACACACTAGAAAGTTGATCAGCCCAGGTTACTTGCCTATTCTGTGCCTCAGTTTTATCTTTGGGGTAACTACAAAAAATGAGGGGATTAGTTGAAATAGCTGTGGAAGACCTAGGGCAGTTAGTGTATTCCCGGACTTTTATTCAGCCTTTCGCATCAACCTCCACAGACCTGTCTCCCATGGATGGCATCAGCACCTGTAGCTCAAAGGAAGAAGTAACCCTTCGAGTAGTAGTCCGAATGCCACCTCAGCACATCATCAAAGGGGTAAGAAATTGAAGGGATGGGGGTGGGGCACAGTGGCATTGGGAAACCAGAACAATACTCAGTTATGTCCAAAAAACCCCAAAACAAAACCTTGGAATCTGCCTTCCCTTTAGTAGAATGTGAGCTCATTAAGGTCAGGAACTGTTTCATTTCTGGTTTTTGTATCCTCTGCACCCTTGGCACATAGTAGGAGCTTTATAAATGCTTGCTGAATTAAGACTCTTAGAGGGTTCCTAAACTAGAGCTTTCCCCTATTGTTGAGGACTCTTCTTGCCTAGCTTCCTCAGGGCTCCAGAGAGAATATTCACTGGCCTCTACTTTGGGCTTTCAGGACTTGAAACAGCAGGAGTTCTTCTTGGGCTCAAGCAAAGTCAGTGGTAAAATTGACTGGAAGATGCTGGATGAGGCTGTTTGCCAAGTGTTCAAGGTAAGAAACCAGTAGCCTCTTCCCACTGGGTAGATCATTCACTCAGGGGGTCTTGAACTGTGGTATCTGTGGGTTACCTGAGAGCTTAGATGTTTTACCAAGAATAAGCAGGAGAGATGTTAGCACTTGAATGGGGACGGTAACTTCCACCTCAATCCTCCTTAATATTGTCTCTATCCTTTCCTCTATCTCTTCCTATTCCCCCTCTTCTTTATCTTTTGCTGCATCCACCTTTCTCTTCTGCCCTTTTCATAGGACTACATTACTAAGATGGATCCAGCTTCTACACTGGGCCTGAGTACCGACTCAGTCTATGGCTACAGCATCAGCCACGTGAAGCGAGTGCTAGATGCTGAACCCCCAGAGCTGCCACCATGCCGTCGGGGTGTCAATAGCATTGCTGTCTTGCTCAAAGGTCAGTCCTTTCCCCAAGAGATAAGAAACAGGGAAAGGGAGTAGAGGCTTAACAAAAACATTAGTACCTCCCCTCTGATCACCTTCTTGGGTGATCTCTAAACATGAGTCCTAAATCTACTTCTGTCAACATACAGTGAGGGGTGTTTACCAGAATCTGATGCTACTCTGGGCTTCTTACCTGGGATTTGTGGAGCTTTCCATGAAGCCTTGAGGGGAAATGACTTTAAGCTTCTCAAGAGACTTCCTGGACAAAGGCTATAGAGGCCCTTCTGGTCCACTTCAATCCTTAGGGTTCTAACCATGGCTTCTGTTTCCTGGGGTGGTGGGTATAGGTCTAAAGGAGAAGTGTGTTGACAGCCTGGTATTTGAGACACTGATACCCAAGCCCATGATGCAACACTACATAAGCCTCCTTCTCAAGCACCGACGTCTCATTCTCTCGGGCCCCAGTGGCACAGGCAAGACCTACCTGACCAACCGGTTGGCTGAGTATCTGGTGGAACGCTCAGGCCGAGAGGTCACAGAAGGCATCGTTAGCACCTTCAACATGCACCAGCAGTCTTGCAAGGTACCTGACCACCACCACCCCCCACCAGGACACCCTATGAGTGCTGGCTCAGTTGGCCAAACTGGTCCCTTTGGCCTAAATTCTCATCCCCTAAACACTTCTCCCTTCCCTTCTCTAATCTTTCTTTATGCCTTCTTTCTACTCTCCGCATCTCTATCTTATTCTTTATCTCCTCTCCTGGGCCTCAGTTTCCATATCTGCAAAATGAAGGGGCTGGACTATGATCTACATTCCTCTCCCTTCTCATCCTTCCTTTCATGCCTCTTCTTCCTCACTTTAATTTCCTATCAAGAGATTTCTCCTTCCTCTACCCTATGCCTGATCTCTTCTCTCTTGCCATCCTTTCCATTTGATTCTCTCTTAACCCTATACTCTGCCACAATTCCCCAACCCCTCTCCTCTTCTCCCCCTTTTCTGTCCTCCTTAGCATCATCCCTGTCCTCAGGCTTTCTTTGAAGCAACACAGACAGCTGAATGTAGACAGTCAAGCTCTCCCTGAGCCCCTTGGATTTGGTTCAAACCTAGCTTTCTATGATAATAGCTAACATTTATAGGGCATTTTATAGTTTTGCAAAGCACTTTGAATTTATCTTATTTGATCTCTAGCTGGGATAGGCAGTTCCCATCAGTACTGGTCCTATAAGGCCTATACCAATCCTTGAAATCCATCATCCATAGGACCCCAGGAAATTGTATTAATGCTGGCACCCCTAGGGGACTTGGAAGTCATTGCTTAGGAGGACAGAAAATCTGTTTCTGCTTAGGAACTCGCCAGACTCATCAAACTGATCCAGAGACACCAAAGAAACCCTCAACTAACATGGCCTTCCCAGGGTCCTTAGGACTAGGGGTGACTAATCAGCTCTTCTTAAACTATGGGTTGTGACCCCATACAGGGTCCTGACTCCCAGTTTAAGAAGCACTGAAAGAGTCATGAGAGGAAAAAGTTTAAAAAGCCCTGAGTCTTAGATCATGAAAAAGGACCCCAGTTCTACCCAGTATCAACCCCCAAAAAGTGGCCGGGTGAAAATGGTTCTGATCATAGGATGTGATTGAAGTTCTTTGGCTATGAAATATTTGGTTCTGGATTAGTCCTGAGGTTATCTTTCTTTTATGGGACCTCACCCACTCCCTCCCTTTCCCCCCAGGATCTGCAATTATACCTCTCCAACCTAGCGAACCAGATTGACCGGGAGACAGGCATCGGGGATGTGCCCCTGGTGATTCTACTGGATGATTTGAGTGAGGCGGGATCCCTCAGTGAACTAGTCAATGGAGCTCTTACTTGCAAATATCACAAATGGTGAGCCAAGGCCAGAAGCAAACATGTGCTTATGGGAAGCTAGGTTTCCATGTCCATCAGCTTTCTCTCTGTAGTATTGGTATGGCAAGGAGCAACATCTGAAACAAATTTATGTTTATTTGTCTGTCTCCCCTCCCATTCCCCTTTTCTCTATAGCCCCTATATCATAGGTACCACCAATCAGCCTGTGAAGATGACCCCTAACCATGGTCTGCACTTGAGCTTCAGGTAAGGATCCCACTCCTGGGCCTGGGCAGATGTTCAATGCCCTTTTCCACCTCCTAATTTTCCTCCCTCTGTCTCCCTTTGCCTACTACCCACCACAAAGAACTTGTACTCTAGGAGTTATAGCCAAAGAGGCTGAGGCAGCAAAAGAAAAAAAGCTAGCAAGGCAGCTAGGTGGCACAGTTCCTCAAGTCAGGAAGACTTGAGTTCAAATCTGGCCTCAGATACATGATACTTACTAGCTGTGTGACTCTGGGCAAGTCACTTAACCCCAATTGCCTCGCAAAAAGGAAAAAAAAGAAAGAAAAGAAGCTAGCAGAACTCTTGGTGTTGGAAAAATGCAATGAAGGAATATACCCACTTCAATAGTGTCAAGGAGCTCAGTGAAAAAGAAGTAAACCCCTTCAGTAAGAGAATTCATGGATTAGAGCAGGGGTCAGCAAATTACGGTCTGAGGGCCAAATCGAATCCATCACCTGTTTTTTTTACAGCCCAAGCTAAGAATGGTTTTTACATTTTTAAATACAGTAAAACATTATTTAAAAACATAAAAGCCATTCTTAACTCACAGACTGTCCAAAAGGCAGGTTGGATTTATTTGGCCCATGGCTTCTACTTTGCCAGTCCCTGGGTTAGAGGGTTAGCCATATCATTTGGATTCGTTCAATAAGTTCTGGTCTGAGAACAGGATATTAACACCGAAAGAGAATTATTTTACTGGAATGAATTCATTTCCACAAACTTTAAAAGCCTACTATTGATGAAAGGTACTACGCTAAGCTTAGGATACAAAAATGAAAAACAGCATGGTCCTTACCCTCAAGTACATTATAAAGGATGGAGAGAAGATAAGACATACATGAATAAGTATGACACAAGGCAGACTTTGATTAGAAAGAGAGCCAGACAAGGTACACAAAGGAAAACTGTGGAAAGAGCCCATTTTAGCTGGGAAAATGAGGGAAAGACTTCATGAAATAGGCTGGCACTCAGTTAGGTCTGGAAGGAAGAAAAGCATTTCAACAGGCAAGATGTGGAAGGAGTGTGTTCCGGGCAGAGAGGTGAGAAGACAGAAAGAGCAAGTATAGAGACAGCTCTTTCCATAGAAGTCGAAAAGAAGAAATATAGCATGACAGTTTAAGGGGTTAGCAGAATCAAGAAAAATTATTTTTAGGCTAGAGAGACCTGAGCATATTTGTAGGCATCTGAGAAGGAGCCAGTGGAGAAGAAGAGATTGAAGGTCCATGGGAGACCATTGATCCAAGATTCATGAAGGCAATGGGAAGGAAACTGGATGAAAGATAGAAAGTCTAGTCTTGTCCTGGACGAGGATCACCTTATTCTCTGAGACTGGAGAGAGGTGAAAGCATAGAGGGGTTTTTCAGATTCAGAGATGAGTTCATGTCGGAAGAACTAAATCTTAGTCAAGGATGTAAGGACATCTTCTGAAGGAGAATGGGGTGGGGTGGAGTTAGAACTGGGGAATCGAGAAAGCTTTTAGAATTGCTGCTGTAAAGTGATGATAGAGGATCAATTGTAAATGAATGCCATATATCACAAACCTTTACTAAGCACATCTTCTATGCCAGGCACTGTATTAGTTGCAAGAGATGAAAATACAAAAGTGATACAGACACCTCCCTCAAGGTGCTCACATTTTAACAGAGGGAAACAACACATCTAGGAGAGTGGTGGCTAGCAAAGGGAGTCCTAGGTAGTTTGAGAGATTGTAAGTAGATCCATAGGACACTCAAGATTGTTATGACAATATGACAATCACCACCTTTTTTGTGATGATATTGATGTCCCCAGAGCAAGAGGTGGAAGGGGGAGGGGGTACACATATGCTAGATGCTCCCTGCTGAATAGACCTTGGTGTCCTATAGGAAGGCTGGTTGAAATGTGTAACATAGATAAGGTGGATTAAGGTGAGCTTTCACTGGCTTGCTTATTGTCAGGAGAGATCAGCCCCAGAGCTACCTGCCAAGCTGAATATTTGGGGGGGGGGTAGCGCATCATCTCTGGTCAGTATACTAGGTGGACAGAAGGAGGGCATCAACAGGACAGATGAAAAGATGCCCTCTTTGGATGGGCTGTTAGATGGCTAGATGAGATAACAGCCCAAGCTGTCCATGGCCCCAGCTCTGAGTCTGAACTCTCCCATTAGTATCTGAGAAGAAACCAAGTAGGCTTTAATGCGTAGTGATCATGGGGAGAAAATGAATGGATGGGTCCTAGCCATGGCCCTCCAGTGCCATTCTAATTATTTCTCCCCTTTCCCGGTGGTAGGATGCTGACATTTTCAAACAACGTGGAGCCAGCCAATGGCTTCCTGGTGCGTTACCTGAGGAGGAAGCTGGTAGAGTCAGACAGTGATATCAATGCCAACAAGGAAGAGCTTCTTCGAGTGCTGGACTGGGTGCCCAAGCTGTGGTATCATCTCCATACTTTCCTAGAGAAGCACAGCACTTCAGACTTCCTCATAGGTACTGGGAATCATATGCCCTCTTGGGGTTGGTAAGGCAGCTCTCTTTTTTTTTTACCTTCCTTCTATAAGAGAGGTTCCAGCATTTAAGCAGATCATCAAGGCCTAGTGGCCAGGTTAAAGACCAGTCAGATATTTAACCAGGTGTTCATTAAGTGTCTAAACATCTGGCCATGATCAAGTCATTTCTATCATCTCAATGAGTACCTGTCCCTCAGTTTTCCCATCTATAGAATGGGGGGGAAGGAGGGGAGAAGGAGGCATGAGAACCTAAGGTATTTTAAGGTTTGTTAAAATCTACTAACTTCAGAAATGCAGAACATTGATAATCATGACATCTAGTAGATAATTCCCTTTACTCACTCCTACTCTGAGTCTGTTTTCCTTAATCCTTTGGAGACCAAGCTCTCCTAGACCTGACAGAGAGGAGTCAGTGAATAAAAGGGTACAGCAAACAGGGCCCTTGGCCACCTTTACCGCAATCTAACTCCTCTTTCCTTAGGCCCATGCTTTTTCTTGTCCTGTCCAATTGGCATTGAGGACTTCCGCACTTGGTTCATTGACCTATGGAATAACTCCATAATTCCTTACCTTCAGGAAGGGGCCAAAGATGGGATCAAGGTGAGACCCCTCCCACTCTTACCCGCTGTTTCCACTCCTACTACAAGATTAGACCTCTCCAATTGGATCGATGTGCAAATTCCTGTAATGTTAGAGCATGAGACTTGAGTCCCATGCGAAATCATAGATGAAGGGGAATTATGAAGCTGGGTGGCTGAACTGCTCCCCCTGCTGCTTTTGCCTGACAGTTCAATTTAATTCAAGTTAAATATTTGTCATCTACCAGAGAGCTTTGTACTAGGTGTTGAGGCAGAGATAGAAAGTTTAAGCAAGTGCTTACCAAGGTCACCCAATCGACATGATCTAGGAGTGAAATAATTTTTTTGAAAAACAGTGGGTCAGGGGCAGCTAAGTGGCACAGTAGATAGAGCACTGGGCCTGGAGTCAGGAGGACCTGAGTTCAAATGTGGCCTCAGACCAGACATTTGACACTTATTAGCTGTGTGACCCTGGGCAAGTCATTTAATCCCAATTGCCTCATGAAAGGAAGGAAGGAAAGAAGGAAGGAAGGAAGGAAGGAAGGAAGGAAGGAAGGAAGGAAGGAAGGGAGGGAGGAAAACCGTGGGTTAGAAGTCAAGTGACCTGAAAGACTCAGTAGATCTGGGTTTCAGTCCAGGTTTAGCCATTAATTTGCCATGAGACAGTCGTCAAGTCTCTTAGCCTCTCTGGGCCAATTTCTTCATCTGTGAAATGGAAATAATAATATTTCCTGTCCTATCTCCCTCACTGAATTGTTTCCAAGATAAAATGACATATGTGGAAGCATTTGGGGGAGAAAAGTTAAGGTCTAACCGAAAGCTAGGCGTTTGTTATTGGATAACTGTGACACTGGGTGAGCCAGTTAGCAAGACAAACCTGTTTCTAAGCTGCAGTGTCATCCTCTGTAAAATGAAGGGATTGAATTTAAGTTCTCTAAAGTCCTTTCCAGCTCTAACAGCCAGCCTTTCTAGAAATCTATCAATAGTACACATTATTGGTAAGTCTGATGCATTAACGTAATTTATTTTTGAGGTAGTTGTCTCTCCATGATGTGGCAGCTTGGTGATGTGGACATCACCATCACCATCACCATCATTTTTATACATTAACTTACTTGCTTACTTGGTTATTTATTTCTTTAGAAAGCACATTGCTTCTTTTTTACTTCTCAAACTTGGGCAGAAGGAAAAAGAGCCTATGGAGAAGGAAGTGGCTGGGGGGAAGGTCTCAGGGCTCAGATTCCGAAAGAGTTCAAGTTCCCCATGGGAATCGGCAAGAGACTTTGAAGCCACCAGTCTGTGTGAACAGTAGTTTTGATGGTCTCACCTCTTTCCCTCCAGGTCCATGGACAGAAAGCAGCTTGGGAAGACCCAGTAGAGTGGGTCCGAGACACCTTACCTTGGCCCTCAGCCCAACAGGATCAGTCAAAGCTGTATCACCTGCCTCCGCCTAGTGTGGGCCCTCACAGCACAGCCTCACCCCCCGAGGAGAGAACTGTCAAGGACAGTACCCCTAGCTCTCTAGACTCAGACCCTCTGGTGAGTAAAGGACACACGGATGGGAGAATGAGAGGAGCAGGCGCCCATGTATACGATGATGGCAGAATGAAAATGTCAGAACCCTGGGCCAGAGGGAAGGCAAGCTTTGAATCTTTCTTGGAAAGATGGCGTTTTTAAAGCCTCTGACAAAGCTTGGCATTTACTTAGGCACTTAATAATGCATGTTGAATTGAAATGCAATCAGAGTTGACTACCACCCTCAGGAACACCCCTCTTCCAATGGGTTTATAAGCCATGAGCCCGCTGCCACCATGGGTGTTTTTGGTCTAAGAGAGAGACAACCAAATGACCATCCTTTTATTAATAAACATGCTGGCATTATTAATAAAATGATTAAATTACCCAGAAATTAGGTCTCTTGACTTTTTTAAATGTCACAGTACCTGGAACATAGTAGGCACTTAATGCCAGTTGACTGACTTGATTCAAGAGTTGGGTAGGGGGAGCAGCTAGGTGGTGCAGTGGATAGAGCACCGGCCCTGGATTCAGGAGGACTTGAGTTCAAATCAGGCCTCAGACACATAATAACACCTACTAGCCGTGCAACCCTGGGCAAGTCACTTAATCCCATTGCCTAGCCAAAAAAAAAAAAAGAGAGAGAGAAATGGTTAGGAATCATTATAGATCTCTGAGTGAAGGCACCTTAAAAGGATAATTCTTCAATTCTGGGAATACAACATATGTGACTGGGTGGGAAAGGAGGGGAGAGCTTGTGGGGGAAACAGTCACTCACATTCTGCATTGTATTCTAGTAATTTGTGTACATGTCATATTTCCCTTATGAGATGATAGACAAAGGAAGGACAGTATAGGTGGAAAATCACTGGACCTTAAACTCAGGAGACCTAAGTTCAGAAGCGTCAAAGTGGCACAATGGATACAGAGTGACGGACTTGGAATCAGGAAGATCTGAGTTCAAATCCTGCCTTAGACACTTCCTAACTGTGTGACCCTGGACAAGTCATTTAACCCTATAAAATGAGTGTAACAGTAATAGCACCTACCTCCAAGGGCAGTTGTGAGGATAAAATGAGGTAATACATGTAAAGTATTTTGCAAGCCTTAAATCGATATATAAATGTTAGCTATTATTATTATTGTTATTTTCCTGACTCCAGTAATTATCAGCTATGTGACCCTAGGGAAGTCATTGAACCTCTTTAAGTTGATTTCCTCATTTATAAAACAGAAATAATAATACCCCTGTTGCCTGCTTCAGAAGATTGTTAGGAAGAAAGCACTTTATAAACCTTAAATTACTATAGAAATGTGAGTTATCCTTAAGCTCCTTGAGGGCAGGAACCACAATTTACTTATTTTTGTATAGACACGAAGGCCATGCCTTGAACATTATAAGCAATCAGTAAATTTGTAAATATTGGATATGCAAATATTGTATATTTACATATGTAAATAAAACTAAAGGGAAAAAGGCAGCTGATGAGGAAGCAGTTGGAATGCTCCTTGTCTTCTAAGTAATCTCTAATGCTTCCATGTCTTGGATATGTTGGAAAGCCTTTGCCCTGGGTTCAAGACCAGGGTTTTCTACCTTCTCCCCTCCGTTCCCCCAGGTCCCAACTGGGAAAGCCTGCCACCATTTTAACCACCCATTCTTACCCCCTTCAGATGGCCATGCTGCTGAAGCTCCAGGAAGCTGCCAACTATATCGAATCTCCAGACAGAGAAACCATCCTGGACCCAAACCTCCAGGCCTCACTCTGAGGACCTACCTAGCCACCGCTGTTGCCCCAGAGAGCAGCGAGCCGGCCTCAGCTATGTCAGCTCTTCCTCCTCCTCTCCTTTCAGAGCACCCATCTACAGCCCAGAAAAGGGGACTGGAGGGAGTTGGTGGGAGGGGAGGGGCAGGCTTTCTGGTGCTGCACCTTGGAGGACTTCCTAGGATTGGTGGGGTGGGGTGAGGGGAGCTTGTTCCTCTGGATATAAGACTGGCCTCCTCTCAAGACTTTGGGGAGAGGGGGATTCTGGGAGGTTTTTTTTTCCCCTTGGTTTTCTGTCTTGACTACAAACTCTTGGGTTTTATGGGCAGGTGACAAGATATCAGGAGAAACCTGCAGCAGTTCCTAGCCAATTATAGACAGTTGTGTGGGAGATGGCCCTATGAGGTGAAGCCCGGGGCAGGGGGAGCAGGAGCTCCCCAAATTCTCTCCCAGCCTCTTCCCAACTCTACTGCCACTGCCAGCAGCTCTCCCCTAGAGACCTGGATGGAGCCTAGAAAAAAGAAGCATGTGGTTTAAAAAAATTTTTTTAATAAAGGTTTTAATTCTGTTGATAGAGGGTTAAAAATCAAATGGAAAAGATGAAGCTGGAGAGGGGAAACAGTTGTCAAGGTAGAGAGAGAGCTGCCCATTCCCAACCCCTTGATGACCTACAGGACGTCCTCAAGATGGCTGTCAAAATGTGCCCCACCAAGATACAGACACAACATCCCTACATCCGGCCCTCCAAGAAGGACTATTAGCTCTGTCTTTGTACCTTCTAATTTAATATACATGAGGACAGCCAATAAACCCTGCCTTTTATTTTGTTTTTCTACCACTTATCTATTTATTTTTCCTTTCCCTCCCCTCCAAGACCAAGAGGTAGTCGGGTTCCTTTCCAGCTTCAGTGTAGATTTTGTGAGGATGGCTTTCTTTTGGAGGATCTGATGCTGTCCAACTGGCACCAACTAAACTTTCCTGCTGTACTCTCCAGCTCTCGTCTCCTCACAGCTCATGGGGAGGCCTGGAGTGGTGGAGAAGCACCAAACTGGAGAGCAAACTGAGGGGCCCAGAGAACCACCTTCCTTCTCTTAAGCTAGCACAGGCTCTCAACGAAGCTTCAATTCTAGCCCTCGAATGCAATGAGAAGAGTCAGACTTATCAAGCTGGACACTCAGCTCTGCTCTTCACCGTGGACTGGACAGCCCCAAGAACTGGAAGAACAGTGGTTCTCAGGTGTCTAGCCAAGGCCAAACCCCCTGGCGGTCTTTCGATTGACATCAAGCAACGGATTGTTCATCAGTAGGAGACACAGCAACCAGTTAATGGAGAGAATTCACAGAGGTGAAGGGAGGAGGGGTGGAGAGGAAGGAAACAACATCTGTCACCTAAGGAGATCTTCTGCCCCCTTTCTTTGCTGCTCCAGAGGTTCTGACAGTTGAGGAACCTGGAACCAGTTGTACCTCTTCACTACCTGGGCTAAGGAAACAGCTTCATATGCACCCTAGAGCAAGCAAGAAAAGCAGCCTCCAAATGGACATATGGTATGTTGAGGTCAGAAGACCTAGGACCAAAGCCTGAAAGACTGCAGGATCATGGGATACTCTCTCTAGTACAAGCAAACTCACTTCCTATCATCTTTGAAAGCCTCCAGGAGCACCAGTGCCCAAGCTTCGGCTTTCTAGCGTAGCCAAAGTTTCTGGGCTTTGCACATTTACCCATTCAACAAATATTTTGCTTGCACGTCAGTGCTAAACAATGGGCTTAGGTGTGGTCTTAGTGTTTACCCTTCAGGCTCCAAAGGCATAAAAGAGTTCAGCTGAGTCAAGAGGAATCCTAACCTGGACCATTCTCTCCTGCTTCCTATCCTCCCCGACAAAAGTCAATGGTGTTCCAACCAGTCATCAGTCTTCAGCATTCAGCTCAGATGCTTCCCTGCTCCCAACAAGAGGCCCCTCTGCCCTGCCCCACCCCACCCCATATTCAGTCACACCTGTCAGCCCCCAGAGGTTCCATTGCTGAGACCCATCATTGCTATTGCTTCTGCTGCTAATTCCCTGATCTGTGAAGACACCTGACCAACACAGCTGTAACTTATGCAATTCTGTAATGGGAAGAGGCTCTTTGTCCAAGGATGGTGCTGAAATCACTGCCTTAAAGACCTCTGCTGTGCAGAGAAGGGGATGCCCTTGAGCCGGTCGTCCTGGCTCAGAAGGAAAGGGGATACGAGATGGGCCTACTTCAGGCTGGATGGCCTTTTCCGAGCCCTGCCTGGAGCTTCAGCTCCAACCAAGGCCTAGCTGTCTAATGTTGCCTAATGTTGGTAGAAGGAGCACTTAGCCCCTTCTCTTCTGGTGCTGCCTAGCCAGTGCCTTCTGACCTGGATTGTTACTGGCCAATTGAGAGAAAGAAGAAATAAGAAGCCTCCCTTTTTTTTCCCCCTGATTCCAACTGCCTGACCTCCCCCATTCCAGTCTCCCAGGTAACCATGGATACAGCCCTGGATTTCTTTTGCCTCCCTAGCAGATAGGGTCATGAAGGCCTCTCTTGCTGTGACTTTCCATTTCTGTTCCATTCCTGGGATCTGTGCCCCACCTCTGCTCTCAGTCTCCTGCTGCATTCAGCCCAGGTCTCCTGCTGTCCCACCCTAGGGTGAGTGTTTCCCCTATAAGGGGAGAGATCTGACATCCTCAGAATTCAGGAACCTGGGACCCTGTTTACAGTTGCACATCTGGGCCCCTCACTGGGAGGGATCAATCATCTTGCAGAGAAAACTCAGACATGGTGGCAGCTGCAAAAGGTTGAGCCTCCTCATGGTGCTATAACCCCCTGGGATGCTCACCCCAGACTCTGCTGAGACAGAGAGAATCTGATGTCTCCCTCACTGCCCAAGAGTACATGATAGGAGCAGACCCACAACATCCCGTCTAGCTATGTCCCTACTCCCCTGCTCAGGCCATAGGGACCCAATCTTCAGGAGAGGAAAACAGAGTCCCAAAGGTGGACTCTGTTCCTCAGGCACCTTCAGAAGATGCCAGCCTGTCTTGAGAAGGTTACTGCTCCTCCTCTCCCTTTTTCCTGGAAGCCTTGAGGTGGGTAGGAAATTACCTATGTGATTTCTATACCTAGCACCTTCACTGGGAGAGAGCCACAGTCCTGGGAGAGATACCATCTCTTCTGCTGTGGATGCAAATGACTAACAAATGATGTGGCCCAGCTGCCTTTCCTTACCCTGGGCTCTCAAACTACAAAAGACTTATAGGTCAGTAGGGCCAAGTATGGGATGTATCTGTTTGCTGCTTTCCTGTATTCTGAGACCTCATCATGGAGACTTTTCAAAGAAACCACAAATTGTGCAGCTCTACGGTGCTCATTTCTCTGTCCTTGTATAAATGTGTGTGCTTGTATCCTTGTCATGTAGATTCACCACCATGAAGCCACACATGGAATCAGAGGCTGGCAGGGAAAAGGATGCTGCTGTCTGTGGGTGGCCGCTACAGTGAGATTTCTAGTGACTGGTTCAGTGTCAGAGTTCACTCTTAAATTGTCAGAATTCCCACAACCCAAGCTAGTATCCTTAGGGACACTGAAGGTTTTTTCTTATAGCTTCTCCCCTTCTTCTGGTTAATACGTTCCCAAAGATTATGATCTTTCCCTCCTTCCACCTCCAGAAGAAGGTTGGTGTTTTCTCAGTGGCCTAAGGGGTAAACTTCATTTTCTACAGGTTCCCCAGGAGGAAGGAACTACTGACCCCCGTCTCCAAAAACTCTTTCCACAGCAGCTCCATCCATTTCTACCATGAGATTTTGCTCACTTCGTAGGAAGGTAGTAGAACCCAGTTCTGGAACCAAGGAGGCTACAATATTGAACCGTGAGGAACATAAGCTTCCAGGAAAGTATCTAGCATGGCAGAGGCTTTCTCAATTTCCTTGTCCCCATCACACATATAACATAGAATAAAAGAGACTAAGCATACCTGTTGATGCTTACTTACTGCTTACTCTCTGAGGATCATGAGCTGATAGAAATGGGTACCTGGTCAGAGAGTAAGCCAGATACTAGTACACAGACATTATAGCTAGGGTTCTAGCTAGCAAATTCCGTCTTGTAACAACATAAGGTTTGTAACAAGCCTTAGGTAGGTAAATAAGTGGTGGAATATGAGAAGGCAAAGGTCCCAGGATAATCATTCAGAAGTGGGTCAGCCATGTATATCCCGAGATCCACAGTCAACAGAAGCACATTAAACCAATTACATGAAAGACTGCCATTCTGTTCTCCCTGTAAGGGCATGTCTCCCCCTCCTTTGCAGAAAAGATTCTCTTTAAGTGCCAGGCTTTCCAAGGATCTTCCCAAGCATAGTTGTGGCTCCCAGGAAAGAACACAACTATAAAAGGTGTTCAATCACCAATCTGGGGAAAAATGAAAATAAAAATGCACAGGTGTGAGTTGGCTTTCAGGGGATCAGGAGAAGCTGCAAAAGAATTAGAATTTGAGCCTGGGAAGACAAATTCTAGCTTCCCCATTATCTGCATATGGAGTTCTTTAGTTCTTTCTTGAGAAGTTTGCCCATGACCCCCTGCTATCTTGGATAAATTTTTCTTCCCAATGTGCCATGAAGAATGTTGTCATACCAGGCTGGCCATTGAACTGGGAGAGGTCCATGGATGCATGATTCAGCTCTTTAGTATTTTTAAAGGGAACTGTGAGTATTGTACAGTCCCCACTTTGAGAGATTTAAGGACCGGAAGTGAGAAGGTCCAAGATTCCACTTCTGAAGCCACACTTTTACCCCATGTGACTGTTTCCCCCACATCCTTTTTTTTAAGACGCCACAAGGCAAGAGAGTATTCATGTTTGTCCCTCATAAACATGAGTGGTCCAGACAACAGCCCTGAAACCGAATCTCTGAAAGGGGCCTTAGCCCAGGAGCGCCCCTTGACTCTTCTCTGGCCCTCTCTACTGTACCTACTCAGGGCCTTTTTCTGGTCCTACTGCTATAGCAAACTCCACAGGGCTAACATGTCTACAAGACAGTTATATCCCCCACCCTCTTGTCCCTTTTTCTTTTGGAGGTTTCAGAGACTAATGTTGGGTGGGAGAGAGGATTCAGCCAGAACCTCATTGCCCAGAACAGTTAGCTGATCTAATGGGTCCCCTTCTCCCAACACCAGCCTTCTGTAAAAGGCATCCAGAGCAGTGTAGGAGAATGGAGTCAGGGTCCCTCCATCTCTTATCCTCCTCATACCAGAAGCAGGATGTGAACTAGGCAGCCAAGAGGAGGCTCAGATATTTTGATAGAATTTATTGGTTGTTTTTTTGTTTTGTTTTGAAATCTGAAAAGAGCTTTTAATCCCAAATTTATAGCCTTTTTAGCTAGTGGGACCATGAGAGAGAGAATAGGAGCATATAGCTTGACTTGAGCTTCGAATTAGAAGATTTTCCAAAGCAGAGAGTTTCTGGCTACAAGACAGAGAGAGATATTCTTAGCCCTTCTATTAGGCACTCACCTGCGTTTTGAGCACTGGTGCTATGAGAGTATTGGGGTGGGGGATAGCTTTGAAGCTCCAAGAATAGTGAACTCGGCAAATTGCACTAAAAACACCTTTATCCTCCCCAGAAGGCACATGACATGTCCTTGGGCCACCTCCCTTCCCATGGGAGCTTTCTACTTCCCTGCCACCTCTCTGAGGCTAGGGGGAGGGAGTGATTGGATGAGAGTTCCCAGAATCCCCAGCCAGTCTCTTGGGCCACTGCTGCGCAGTGGCTCCTCATTTCCCAATGTTAGCTTTTTTCTAGAACAAGATAACTTTTTTTAATAAATCCACCCCACCCCACCCCCCACTAGACCCTATCCTGTTTTAGACAGCACTAATTATGTGATGAAATCTATTTCTCAAATGCATGGTATTCCTCAAGCATAGGGCAAGTGGGATGGGCCAGGGAGCTTTTGTAACACTTTTTTTTTAATTTATTGGGAGTAAAAACCCAATCAACAGGTCTCCAGATCTGTGTGTCTCTGTGTGTGTGTTTTCCCTCTCATTTGTGCTCCCTTCATTCCTTTCCTTCCACTTTCCTTTTTATATCTGGTGTAGAGAAAGCAACATTGAACCTGGAAAGTAAACTGATGTATATAGTTGCGGTAACAATCATGAAAAGAGCTGGGCTGTCCCCATAGCAACCTGTTTTTAAAAAGAAATTGATTAGAAATTGAATCCATGCCAGGGTCAGCTGGAGAGACCATCACCACCAGAGCCTCACATGGCTGCCCTCCCTCTACCCCAGGCATGTCTCCTCCCGGCTAGATTCATCTGTCTGATACCATTTGAGTTTCAATAAAGTTATCTCCTGTATTGTCCAGCGGGTGTCTAGCTCTCTCTTATCTCTCTGTACCCAACTTTCAGCCTAGTCCTTGGGTCATCAGGGAAGAATTCAAAGATGTCATTTAGCTTGATCTATCATTGCGCCCTAAGGTTGCTAGGTGAACTGAGCTGCCTAGAAACGCCTGATCCTCAAAGACCAAATGGATGTCCTTGTAAGATGATCATTTGCCCTTCTCTGTCAGGGGGTATGAACGTGGAATCTGCCATGATTCCTCCTTTGAAATTTAAAGCATCTGGGCTGAGAATCCCATAGATCCCTGAATGACCACTTCCCTCGAGAAGAACCACAAACTTGGGAAGCTAGGTGTGTCAGGGGATAGAGCACTGGCCCTGGAGTCGGGAGGACCTGATTTCAAAAATGGCCTCAGACACTTACTGGCTGTGTGACCTTGGGCAAGTCACTTAACTCTGCCTAAAAACAAACAAACAAAAAATCCACAAGTGTCTGGCTTTTCTTAACTTTTTTCCTTTAAAATAGATACACTGATATGTAAAAATACAGACTTGTCCTAACCAAGTTCACTTCCCCATGAATGAATGAATAGCCATGGAAGAGAAATAACCATTCCCCTAAACACTCTGTTAGACAAAAGGGTCTTCTCCCTTCTCCTATAAAGTTGCCATAGCAACACTGCCCATTCATGCTAGGCAGGTTGGTTGGAGGGAAATAGTAACAGAGGAATTTTCAGTCATTGAAGCAGGGAGTTAAGGGATTATTCTTTTGAAAAAGTATTCAGAGGAGGGGACCCAGCCTCCCTGTGCCACACAATTCAGCACTCACATTTCTAAAAGATGGACCAGTAACTGCCAGCAGGCTTCACTTGCCTTTTGGGCATGAAAATTAAAGCCCTTCAGCTAGCCAAAGCATTTAGCCTCACTAATCAGTTTCTGAGAAACTCTTGCTCTTTCCTCCAATTACCCCCAACACTTCATTGCCACCCGAACACATTCCTCCAACTCCCTGTATTTTTTAACCCCCTTCCTTGCATTTTAACTCTGTTCACACATCTCTTCTGCCATGGGCCTCTTTGTGGGCCTCTGCTTTTTCCTGTCCAAAGTCCACAGATCTCCAAATCAAACCACTCTTGGCCCATTGTGTTTCCAGAGACAATTTGCCTCAAGGAAATTTTCTCCCATACTCCCAGTTAGATGGGTTTCCATCTTAAACTGACCCAGAACATATCCCTGGATTTAGACAGTGCTGACCCTTGGGGCCAAGAATTTTTACTTTCCACTCAGTTGCTATCATATCAACCAAATTAGGCAATATTACTACTGTAAATATCCTAAGACCAGAGAAGGAAGCAGTTAGAATAACCCATCAACAAACCAGGGTCTCTAATGTTTAAAGATTTATTAACTAGACAAGAAGCTTTATTCATCCTTAGCATATCCACAGACTCCGAGATATATGTGCCCAGATTTGAATATTTGTATACGTAGAATCACTGGTAGTGAACTCCTACAAGAGAGTTAAACTTGGTAGCCTAATGGAAAAGCAGAGGAATGGAATGCTTTCTATTCAGCAGCTTCTACTACGTGTGCAATGGAATCCTCTGTATAGAGTCAGAGTGGGAAGGGACGTAAGAAGGTAGCTCAGTCTAAATCATTCCTGAATGAGAATCCCCACTGTATTCACAGTCAACCAGTCTTCGCTTGAAGATATCCAGGGAAGGACAACCCGTTTCCTCCCAAGGATGCCCATTCCACTTTGGGGCAGGTTTAATGTTTAAGAAGCCTAAATTTGCCTCTTTGCAACTATTACCTTGTTACCTTGTTCGTTGCTCACTGTTACGCTCTCTGGAACCAAGCAGAAGGAAACTAACCCCTCATCTATCGGGTAACTTTTCAAATACTTAAAAATAGTTACCATGTCCTCCCTGAGGCTTCTCTACTACAGCCTCAACATCTCCGGTTCCTTTGAACATTGTGCACGTGGGATGTTGGGGCCTTTCACCATCCTGGTTGCCTTCTTTGAGACACTCCTTCCTAAAATGGGGTGCCCAGAATTGAATGCAATACTGCAGATGTGGTCTGAACAAGGCAGGGTGAAGTGGGGCCACCACTTCCTTGTTCCTGGACACTGCCCAAGTTTACATCAGCATTCTAGGCTGCACAGTGCAAAGGAAAGCATGTGGGGTGGGGTTTGGAGTGAGAAGATGTGAGGACAAGTCTCAGCTTTGCCATGTCCTATCTGTGTGACCCTAGGCAAGTCTCAGCTTCTTTTAGTTTCCTCTATATTAAGGCGAAGTGTTGGACTAACTCTGCTGTATCAAACTCAAATAGAAATGAGGCCACTAAACTATACATAAGGAGCCCTGTAGGCTACACAGTGACTTAGAAAACTACATATCTTTGTCCTATTGAATTTTTATTTATTTTATTAAATATTTCCCATTTTTATCTGGTTCAGTCTACCCTAGGGAGTGTTTTGAGCTGCCTCTAGTCTAGAAGACTTCTAAGGTCCCTTTCAAATTATAATATATACACATATAATAAATATACATAATTATATGTAATATATATTCTGTATATATGTTATATACATATATGTTACATATTATATGTAATTACATATATATAAACATATATAATTATATTCTATTAAGTCACATTGAGTTCATAGTCCACTAAAACCTCCCAGGACTTTTGTAGGTGAACCCCTACCACATCCATACAGAAAGTACTGAATAGGATTTGCTCAAGTCTATCTGTGATAAAATGATAGTTTTATCTCATTGATTTAGAGTTAGCAACCCTCTCTCATTTAGGTGATGTAATGGGTAGAGAGTACTGGACCTGGAGTCAGGAAGATCCAGGTTCAATTCCAGCCTTGGATTCACTCTGCCACAGTTCTCTCATCTGTAAAATGGAGATACCAAAGCACCTACCTCCCAGGGTTGTTGTTAGAGAAAATATCTGTAAAGTGCTTTGTAAACCTTAAAACACTATATAAATGCTAGCTATCATCATCATCATCATCATCTCAGATAGCCCTGGGTAGGGTAGTTTTTGTTTTCTTAGATGCCTTTCACACAGTCTTTTAGCTCATTATTTTCTAACCTAACCAGGATTCTTGAAACCTGGTACAAGTGGTGATTTTCACTGATAACTTACATAAAGACAAACAGATAATTAACAGCCTACTCATTCACATAATTTCAACATCAATGGTATTAAGTTAGAGGCAGTGGAATAGATTTGGAGCTAAAGTACCATCTTCAGATCTTGATATTTCTGCTTACTACCTGTATAATTTTTTGGCCAGTCATTTAACCTATTTGTAAAATGAGAGAGATGTATCATATAAAATCTGAGATTCATTCCTGTTCTAAACCCTATGACTTGCTCTCATAATTTCTTTTCTTATTCCACTAACAAAAAAAAATTTTCTTTAAAACACTTAAGTCGATTCAGCATCTGTTATTGGTCCATTAATGCGACAGCAATTTTAGTGGACTGCTACTGTAAATTGAAGCCTAAAATCATTAGGTTTTTTGCTTACCCCATTGTGCTTTCTTGATCAGCGACATCCCAGTCAGACTAATCCAAGCTGGAACAGCAAATCAATTAATTGCAGACTCTTCCTCTTTTGTGTTTGGATTTCTTGAGAGCTGGGAACACAGCTCTAGTCCCTGTCTCCTCAGTGGGGAAAGGAGGAAGCAAATTAGACCAGCAGGATACCTGAGCCCAGCATCTTGCCTTCTTCTTCTGCATCTATAATCATACCATTTTAATTTGGTTCTCTTTCCCTCTCTCTCTCCCAACACAGTGTTGTACTGCTGAAATATGGCTCAATTCAGGCAACCAGATATGTGTGCTAGATCTCACAGAATCTCATAGCTGGGAAGGACCTCAGAATCCACCTAGTCCAGTCTCAATCAGAATAAGAATCTATAACAATAATACTAAGTATGATGATGATAACTAGCATTTATATAGTGCTTTAAGGTTTACTAAATGCTTTCCAAATATTATCTCATTTGATCCTCACAACAACCTTCCCCCAAAGTGGTCACTCAGCCATTGCTTGAAGACTTCCAAGGAGGGAAAAACCCCACCACAACTGGAGGCAGCCCATTCCATCTTTGGAGAACTTTAAGTATTGAGAGATTTTTTTCCCTAGATTTTCCCAATCAAGCCTAGATTTGCTTTTTATTGTAACCTTCCACACACAAAACCTTGTTTTGACCCCTGCACAAATTTCTCATTTGATCCTCGCCACAACCCTAGGAGGTAGTGCTATATTATCCGAATTTTACAAATGAAGCAAGGGAGGCAGATGGATTTGAATTAAGGTATTCCTGATTCCAGGTCCAGCGCTCTTTCTGCCATACCACCCAGAGCCCGTCCTGTGTCCCCTGGCAAGCGACTGCCAGTAAATGCTTAACAACAGGTTGGGAGGGGAAACAATTTACTTAGGACACATTTTAAAGTTTCATCTACGTCATACATTTTCTCCAACACTTTGTTAAGTCTAGTCCATCAACAAAACAACACACCAAGCCCTGATTTGTAGCATTCGCCAATTTCACAGGTGTTAATGTTCACACTGATAACTTAACAATCCACTCACTCAGAACAGGTCCAAGTTGGCTACAATCCACTCCTGCCCTTAAGCCTTTTCTTCCCCGGAAAAGGCTAAATAAATATTCCCAATTCTGCTTTACCTAGTCCGAAATTAGCTGCAGTTCATAATTTTTAAGGAGGGAGAGGAAAGAAACATTTATTAAGTGTCTTCTAATTATAATAGCTAGCATTTATATATCAACTTCTAGAATAGCTAGTTTTATATGCTGCCTTCTAATAATATAATCGTTAGCATTTACATATCAACTTCTGATAATAATAGCTAGCATTTTTACGCACATAATAATAATTACTACTACTACTAATAAGCTAGCATTTATATAAATGCCTTCTATGTGCAGGGCACTGTATCAAATGTTGTACAGATATCTTAGCTGCGGAAAGAGAGAGCAGAGATGGAACGCTTATCATCAGTTTGACTGTTATCTTCGGTGTAATTTTTGGAAAGTCCTTTAATTAGTCTACATGAGCAAATTCTTCCCCGCTATACTAGACACATCCTCATCGAAATCTTGAGGGGGGAAAAAAAACCCAACAACTTTCTCCTGGCCACAGGAGGCGCTGTCTGCGGAGGCTTCGGCTCGCAGCCCGACCTCTCTGCAGCCCCGCCCTAACTCCCCCTTCCCCGGCTCGCCGCCGCCATGCGCATGTGCGGCTTCGAGGATTGGCCGCGCGCGGGAGCCGTCGTGCCGGTGGCGGGTCCCCGCGGCGGGAGGAGCGGCCGCGGGGCTGGCTGGCTGGCTGGCAAGCAGCGGGCGGGCGGGCGGAAAGATGGCGGCGGCGGGCGCGCGGGCTCCGGGCTGCCGGGGCCAGTGGCGCAGGGCTTGAAAGAGGCGCTGGTGGAGACGCTCACGGGGATCCTGTCGCCGGTGCAGGAGGTGCGGGCGGCCGCCGAGGAGCAGATTAAGGTGCTGGAGGTGACGGAGGGTGAGTGAGGCCGGCGGAGCCCGCCCGCCTCGGGAGGGGCCCGGCGCGGGGCGTGCGGGACCCCCGGGAGGCGGGCTGCGGTCTGCGGAGGGGAGCGAGCGGGCTGAAGCCGGGCCGGGGATCCGCCGTCTGCGGGGCGAGCCCGGTCGGCGCCGGCGCTGCCCTGGCCGCGGGGGACGAGCGACGGGCGATGGCCCCCGCGCCCCGGCAGAGGAAATGAAATGAGTTGCCGGGTCCCGGCCCCTTCCCCCGCCCTTGGTGTGCTCGTGGAGCCCGAGTCCCAATGCACAGTCCCGCTGGGCAGCCCTTTACTGCCCGGACCCCTGGTTGTTGAATACCGATTTTTAACGACTGCATGCCTGTTTCTGAAGAGTCTGATCCTAGGAGCTGCTTCTTTGCTTCCTCCCTCCCCGTAGGGCTTTTGGATCGTCGTTCCCTGCTCAGAAAAAGACCTTCACCCGAGGGTAAAAGGCTCAAAATTTAAAAATAGCCCTGGTTGAAAGGCGAGGATTAAAATGAGGGTTTGAGATTCTATTGTGCCTGGCATCAGGATACTAAGCCAGTTTGACAAAGGAGCATTTTGAGCTTGAAACAATACTCAGGAGAAGGGGCTGGAAATATCGAGTCTTTTTTTTTTTAAACTAGCCTTGAGACAGTGGGGCTTAATGTCGAAAGACCTCTACAAAGAAATTCACCTATTGTAGCATCTCTTCCAGAATATCAGGGACAGAGTATTCTCCTGAATTCTTTCTAAGAATCTAACCTTAAGAAGTCTCCTTCCAGGTCTTAGTAGCGGTCTTCTGAGAACCACCACATGTAAATAGGGTAGAGGTTAGGCGTTCGCATAGGGAATTTTTATAATGGATCCCATACTAGATTGAGAAACTGTGAGTAGCACCCATTATAGGTTTCAGCCTGAGTTTTTCATAGGGACTGAATCTGTAGTGGAAGGGCTCCCTGAAACATTTATTTTAGTTCAGTATCTATTTGATATCATGACATTAGTCAAGGAGAAAGAAAAGGCCTTTAAGTTTGTTGCTAGTAGACTTAGAAAATGATGAGTTGTGGTTTCAGCACTTGAAACGTGTGCCTTAAGCATTAATGCCATTGGTTTGTTGTTTGGTTTGGGTTTTTTGTAGGACATTTCTCTCTATTCGTATTGGGGAAGGTGGTGTGATAATGGATTCTGGCTGCTTAAAAGACAATTGAAATTAACAGTGGAGATAAGAGCCATTCTTACATGAAATGTGAGACCAAAAGGAAAGAGAGAAAATTTGTTGGATTTGGAGGTTATGAGTTATAGCCATACATAGGTTGATCTGGAGGAGGAAAAAATGCCTCCTAGTCAAAATTCTTTTGTTTGCAAAGCAAGGGAACTTCAGCAGTTTTAGGGCCAGGTTCCTGTTAATCAGAACAGATCCATCTATGAACTTCTTTTCTGTTTGCACTGACCTGTGTATGACTTTGACAGCTTCCCCCATAAACGTGCAACCTTAGCTCATATCTGACCATCTTTGACAAAAATGCATTGGTCTTATTTGAACAGAATTGCTACCAAGTTCATTTTAAAGCATTAGTCCTCTACTTCCTGTCTCTTTGGTGTTTGGAACCAAAACTCAAATGTCTGCAGAACTTTGTAATTGATCAATGCCACTGGTGGGTTATAATACTAAAGTTATTTTCTATGTAACTTGATAGGAATGTGCTATGAAAAAGAGTTGATTTTATATGAAGTGTCCTATTATTGGTGTGCCTAGTGGCAGTGTAGTAAATTGCTTAGATGTTCAGACTACCTGGAGAAGTGGTATAGGTTGCTGGAGTTTCAGGTAGTGACTTGTATTCTTTCGGGAGCTACTGTTAAAATTGATTCTGTTGTTTGTGTGTTTTTTCCCCAAAGTCCTTTAGAAACTTATCCTTCAAATTCAGAAGCAAGAAGGTTAATTCTTCTCTTGTTGTTCTTGTACCCTTCCTCGGAAAGAAGACTGTGGTGGTGGAAGGACTGTGCCCTTTCTTATGACTTGTGATCCTGTCTCTCCTTTCTAAACCCTTGGCAGCATTGGACCAAGCTCCACTTTGCCAAATAGCCCAGACAGATTTCAGAATATTCTCTCTCGGCTTGTTTTGTACTTGATTGATCTGCTCAACTTAGGCCACTGTATCATTGCCTTCTTTTGAGGAAGCAGATAGCACCTGACTGCCCAAAGCTAGGATTTAGCCAAGTATTTGGGGCATGGTTGTGATGAAGAGCATGACTCAAAGATCCTCTGTTTCTTTTATCAACCAACTGAAGGTCTGAAGTAAGCAACAGTTCTCTCAGATAGTATCCCTCTGAAGATGCTTCAGAGTGCCGCGATTTCTGTCATTAACAATGCACAAGGACCTTTGCTTCTATCTTCTGCCCAGAAAAATTGGTAAACAGCATTCCTCGGAACTTTAAGTATAATCTAGAAATTACCCTTGAAGTTCAGTTCCTTTGATATTTTTCTTCCTCCTCTCCCTCCCCCAACTTATTAGGTCAAGTGAAAGCCCAGAACAAGTTTCTCTCTGATTGTTTTCAACCCCTTTGCCCCGATTTTCCACTCAGAGCCTTTGTTCAGACCCTCATCACCTCTTGCTTAGACTATTATAGTAGCCTTCTACTTAGACTCCTGGCTTTCAGTCTCTCCTCTCCCCAATCCACCCTCCATATAATGACCAAAATAATCTTAAGGCATAAGTCTGACTTATCACTCGCCTTGCTCAAGAAACTTCAGTGGCTCCTTACTGCCTCTAGAATAAAATAAAAGTTCCTCAGCTTAGCATTTAAAACTGTTCATAACATGAGTTTATCCTGCCATTCTGGACTTATTCTCCCCTCTCTCCACTCAAGTGTTCCTTTTTTTTTATGTACCTCCTAGCATACCACTAAGAGGCAATGTGGTGTGTTAGATAGGGGCACTGGATTTGGAGGCTGAATTCAAATCCCAATTCAAAGTCTTACTAGTAGCATGACCCTTGGTAAGTCATTTAGCATCTCTGAGCCTGTTTATTCATTGATAAAATGAGGCAATTCCCTTCTGTCTCTGAATCTATGAGCTTATGATCATACTTTCTCCATTGTAGGCAGAGTGGCCTACTTACTGTTTTCCTGACTTAGCACTCTTAGCTCCCACCTCCATTCCTTTGCACAGGCTGCCTCCAATGCCCTCTTTTTCCTTCCAGATTTAACTCTTGTGCCATCTCCTGTGGGAAGCTTTTCCGGATTCCTTTAGTTGTTGATGTTCTCTCCCTCCCCAAATTATTGTGTATTTATTTATTTATGCACATGTTGTATCTTCCATTTTAGCTCCTTGGGGAAGGGAACTATTTTTCATTCTATCTTTGTATTCTTAGCACCAGTGGTACAGTGCCATGCTTTTTAGATTAAATTCGGTGAAAACACTTCTCAGGAAATACAAGCTGGTGAAGCCCAAAGCATATTCTGGTCTTTTAACCTGCCACCTAACATATCCAGGAAAACTGCTGCCCCACAATTAGTTGCCTAATTTTCTAGAGTGGAAAAAGTTGAGATAGTTCCAGAGTCCTCCAAGCTGAGATAGTTCATATGTGGAAGAGAGAGCTGCTGCAGCTTCCATCACCATGTCTACTTTGAGCCAACCTCACAACCCACAACACATCTAGGGAGTGTGCTCCATCAGTCTGGTGTCCTCGGAGGGATTTTACTGAGCTGAGCGATGTGCTGCTTTGTTCCTTTATTTCCTTGAGTTGAAGAAGGCCTCCCAGATCAGTTTAAGTATTTCATTTAAAGCCTGTTTAACAGAATGAAATCAGAGAAGGAAATCCTGCTGGCAGCCTCATTCTTCACTTTGACCTAAGAGTTCATTAGGTCCTATGCTGCACAGCAACTCAACAGATTCTTCTGGCACAAACAGCTTTCCTAAGAGCTGTGAAGCTTAACAGGAATTAGGAGTTTCTCAGAAAACACAAGCACCTTCCCAGCTATGATTGCATTTCTCTTAATGACGTGATAGCTGTGGCCACTGAGAGTTTGTGAACTCCCACGGTTTCTTACCTGTACTCTTAAGTCTCATGTTCTCCACTAGATTTTTCTGCTTTGTTGGCAAGGTTGGGAAGATTCCATCTCCTTTGTTTTGGGCTGCTTCCTCTTAGATCTTAATTTATTGCTATCTCATTTTCTTCATCCTTCCTCCAAGGCTAGCATCCCAACAGAACACAGTGGGTAGCCTTTCTTGTCACAATAAGCATTGATCTTCCAGACCACAAGAGCGTAGCCTTCATTATATAGATTGATCATCTCTCCCTTATTTCTTTTGGTTATTCCTTCTATCAGAAATATTGTAGCATTTTCCACATGATCAAATGGTCATTTCGCTCTTGATTCTCTATTAGTCATCTGTCCCTATTGCTTCACAAGGATAAATTCTCTCTTTGCTCCCCCTGTAATAGCTACCACTATAATATTGGGGGCTAGGGAGGGGGTGGAAATAGCTCCCCCTCACTTCTCCTGGCTCTTATTTGGTGCCCAAGGTATTGGAGTATTGGTTTCCCCATCTTAGCTACCTAGAGAGATGATCCTGCCGGTTGGGCATATGCTTTCTGGTTTTCATGGGCACTTTTCTGGCTCTCTTGCAGTGTAGCGTAAGCATTGTCCTCCTGCGAAGGGAGCCCCTCAAGGATCCAGACGCACTCCTGGGCATGTGGCGGGCACTGAGCCGAGCGGAAGGCGGCCGCGCTCGGAGAAAGGCCAGTGGTGGAGTTTTCTTTTTCCTTTCAGCTGTGGTTTTGTGGTGCCCCTGCTTCCTGGCCCCCATGGGAAAGATGAAGTCACTCTAGGGCTCTACTTAGAACTCCCCCAGCCCTTCTTACCTTATCCAAACCCCTATGCAATTTCCCCCACCATTAGCTTACTAAACCCTGATTGTCAAGGTGCTACCTAGTCCTGTGTCTCTGACAGACCCTCAAGGCCAATAGCATTTCTTAACTTGTCCTCCATCCTGTCC